TAAATATACATGCTCAGTCGTGTTTAAAATTGTTTCTTGTGGTTCGGGACATTCGTTATCGAATGTTACTTCGATTTACAAAGCAGAATTAAAAAATCTTGAAATCTAAAAAATTCATCTTTGACAGTTTTGTTTAAACTGCTGTATTTTATAAAGTGTGCAACTACAAGCGAAACGAAATTCACTTCACACATCTATAAACGATTCTTAATAAGACTGCTGATTTAAATTTGCGTTATTTTCAATTTGGGGAAAATTTTGGACTTTGATTTTTTTACTGACGACGCGAGCGATCGACGTACTATCATTTTCGGTATTAAAATAATTAATTCTTTATAGTCAGCTGTCAGATTCACATTAATATATATTAAAAACACATTTTCAAGTACGTTCAACGTCTTTAAGCGAAGATAGATCGATTTCGATGTTGAAGCGAAAAATTTAAAAAGTGACAAGCTTTAAGATATTATAAATATACATGCTCAGTCGTGTTTAAAATTGTTTCTTGTGGTTCGGGACATTCGTTATCGAATGTTACTTCGATTTACAAAGCAGAATTAAAAAATCTTGAAATCTCAAAAAATTCATCTTTGACAGTTTTGTTTAAACTGCTGTATTTTATAAAGTGTGCAACTACAAGCGAAACGAAATTCACTTCACACATCTATAAACGATTCTTAATAAGACTGCTGATTTAAATTTGCGTTATTTTCAATTTGGGGAAAATTTTGGACTTTGATTTTTTTACTGACGACGCGAGCGATCGACGTCCTATCATTTTCGGTATTAAAATAATTAATTCTTTATAGTCAGTTGTCAGATTCACATTAATATATATTAAAAACACATTTTCAAGTACGTTCAACGTCTTTAAGCGAAGATAGATCGATTTCGATGTTGAAGCGAAAAATTTAAAAAGTGACAAGCTTTAAGATATTATAAATATACATGCTCAGTCGTGTTTAAAATTGTTTCTTGTGGTTCGGGACATTCGTTATCGAATGTTACTTCGATTTACAAAGCAGAATTAAAAAATCTTGAAATCTAAAAAAATCATCTTTGACAGTTTTGTTTAAACTGCTGTATTTTATAAAGTGTGCAACTACAAGCGAAACGAAATTCACTTCACACATCTATAAACGATTCTTAATAAGACTGCTGATTTAAATTTGCGTTATTTTCAATTTGGGAAAATTTTGGACTTTGATTTTTTTACTGACGACGCGAGCGATCGACGTCCTATCATTTTCGGTATTAAAATAATTAATTCTTTATAGTCAGCTGTCAGATTCACATTAATATATATTAAAAACACATTTTCAAGTGCGTTCAAAGTCTTTAAGCGAAGATAGATCGATTTCGATGTTGAAGCGAAAAATTTAAAAAGTGACAAGCTTTAAGATATTATAAATATACATGCTCAGTCGTGTTTAAAATTGTTTCTTGTGGTTCGGGACATTCGTTTTCGAATGTTACATTGATGTAGAAAGCGGAATTTGAAAATTATGTAATTTGAAAAAATGTATTTTTGACAATTTTGTTTAAACTACTGTATATTTTAAAGCGTACATTTCATTTGCAAGCGAAACGAAAATCAGTTTTCACATTTAGAAACGATATTAAATAATACTCTGTATTTGGATTTGCTTTATTATAAAGTTGTGTCACAATTTTAAATTTCGATTATTACATTGACGAGGCTTGCGATTGAAATGCTGTCGTATTCCGTATTAAAAAATTAATTTCTTTATTTTAGGGGCCACATTAACATTAATATATTAAAGACACGACATTTTCAAGTATGAATAAAAATCTTTAAGCGAAGATAGATCAATGTGGATTTCGAAGCGAAAAATTTAAAATGTTACCAACTTTAAGAAATTTCTAATTCTCATGCTCAGTCGTATTTAGAATTGATTTGTTATTGTTTAAAACATTCTCAATCGAAAAATATATTTTTGGAAAAAGCAGAATTCGAAAATTTTGAAATTTGAATAGAATCAACTTTGACAGTTTTCTTTAAACTACTGTATTTTTTAAAGCGTACAACTACAAGCGAAACGAAAATCAGTTCCCACAATTAAAAACGATATTAAATAATACTGCGTATTCGGATTTAATGGTTATCTGAAAAATAATAAAAAAACATGAAAAAGAAACGACATTTTTTGTGACATTATAGTGATATAAACACACACGCATATATATATGTACATACATGCTTGTTTTTTTATATATAGTTTCGTTATATATATGGTATTATATATATATATATATATATATATATATATATATATATATGTAACTATATATATAAATTATATATATAATATAAATTATTTTATATTTTTTAATATAGAAAAAACATTATTATGGGAAATATAAAGTTTACTGCAGAAATAAAAAAAGTGCAATGAATAAATATAGTACTGTAATAAAAGGAAAGGAAAGGGAAGGACGACCTGAACACGTGCAAATACACGACTATGCTCACTGTGCAGCACGAATAAACATAAAATTAGAATGGCTTCCGCTTGTACCAGTGATAAGTAAGTACATGATATTCATTTATGGATAAATTAGAGTCTGACAAAATGACTTTATTTAAATGATTTATTTATAGACTAGAAGATTGCGAAGTATGCGGGGCGACGAAAGCTAAATACACGTGTCCGAAATGTGAGGTTAGAACATGCTCTCTCGTGTGTGTAAATTTGCATAAGAAGGAATTAGATTGCGATGGGATTCGAGACAAAACGAAGTTTATCCCTTTATCGTCATTTGGAGATTTGGATTTACTAAGCGGTAAGATTTTTTTGTACTCAAGTTTTTCTTTTCTTTTTGCTAAAGAGACTGTGATGCTTCAATCCTAGAAGCTTTAATATCTACTTGATATTTTGCAGACTATCGTTTTCTTGAACAAGTTGGCAGATTAATTGATACGAAGAAACGAAATCCAGAAAAGAAATACACACGTCATAGTACTTACCAGTGGTAAATAATTTTATATATATGTATACATATATATGTCAATTTTGATTCACTATAGTAAAATTTATCATATAATTTCTTTAACAGCATTTACATAAGCTGCGATGTGCTGCATCTCGCAAAAAAGTATCACTGTTATTTATGCCACAAATTTTTAATCGACATAAGGAGAACACTACATTTCTTAATTGGAAGACCAATGAATTATTCTGGCGAATAAATTGGATTTTTCCACAAGCTCAGAATGTACAATGGGTTGTAGAAAGGTATAGATAAAGATATAGTTATTTTGAAAAATATAAATAGCTTTTGAACTATAAGCAATAATTTATAAATATTCTTATTACAGAACTCCAGACACTGCAAGATTATCGACACTTGTCGAACAGGTTTTAGATCCAATCTCTTCAGGAAATGAGACTGATGATATTGAAAAATTAAATATAAAACTAGCTTTAGCTGATAAATTACAATTTTATAGAGCAGCTGGATTACCCAGTATCAAAGTTCTCTTAAAAGCTGAAAAAGTTAAGAAAGCAAACTCTAAGTAAGTAGACATATTACAAAATTTTTATGTTGAATTTAAAATGTACAAAATTTTTAATAAAAATGTCAATTTGTTAATTTATTATTTTATTCAATTTGTTAAATAATTTTAATAATTGTTCTTTTGCAGGTTTTATAATTTGGATCTTACACTTACATTGCAAGAAAATTTGGAAAATAAAACTATAGTAGAATTTCCAACATTGTATGTCATTATGAAAGATCATTCTGATATATATGAAATTATAGATACTGGTAAGTATTATATATATATATGATTATTGTATTTTATTTTATCTTCAACAATCTTTATAACTACATAAAATCATTTAGATGAAGAAACAAGTGATACAGAATGTAGCAATCTGGGAGCAAGAAAACGAAGAAAAAATAGATCTGACAAAAAAGATGAGCCAGTAAATTATTTTTTCAATGATTTTCGGAATCTGATGATGAAAAGCTAGATAACAAAAAACAAAAAGAAGCTTTACCTGATTTAGATATACCTTATTATGAAGAATTATAGATGTGGAGCCATATCCGTAAAATAAAAAAAATATCTACTTATATATAGAAGTTTATTGTAAATATATCTCTCACCATTATAGTTTCCATATAATTTAAACATAAACGTGATGATGTAAAGGACTATAATATATTTGTTAAATTGGTTCCTTTCCCACTAATAATATATATATTTCCACACCACCCAAGAATATTACTGTGATTAATAATAAATATATCATTTTAAATTTACTATTTCAAAATTTCACATGAGCATCACACATTAAATTAAGACTTAACAAGTGTATAGGAATGGGACAATACAGTGGTTCATTATCAGTGAGAAGAGATAAAATACATAACATCTTATTTCTCTTATATTATTAGAAAATTTTATCTTTATCAAAAAAGTCAATAATTTAGAGATTTTTAATATAATATTACCCTAAGCAAGGTGCAGCAGCTAAGAGAGAAACAAATATTTTATAAAAATATTTGCTATTTCATATTTTAAAAATGATTGCACATATTATCTCTTTGTTTATTTATAAATTATTAAAATGAGTCAAACGAAAAATGTGATGTAAAAATTCTATATATCTAATTATTTATACATTATATAACAAAATTAGTTTTTTTATGTTATTGTGAAGTATTAAAAAATTTTGAATATTTTATAATTATATGTATATATACTATAATAATTTTATAATTATATATGCATTATATATTAAATATAATTTACTCTACTATACTTTTAGAAACATAATTTTGATATAGATTAGTTAGGTACATCAGTACAATTACATTTCCGAGAGACTTATTTTAAATATAAATTTTAACTTTCTCTTCTTTTTTATAAGTATAAATGGATATTAAAGCCTGTATAATTATAGATGATATAAACAAAATATGTATATCCTTGGAAATAAAATATCTTTGATAAATATTTTGATAAATATTCTTAAATAAATCCTTTTGCTTGTATTGTTTAACTAAAGTATAAAAAAATACAACAGGAAGACCAAAAATGCAATAAGGCCAGCAACAGCTTTTACATACATTGACTTGCTATTTAAATGTCTCGCATCTTTTTTATACTTTTGTGATAGCATGGATAGATTTTGCGTCTTTGTATCCAACTCTGCAATACAATTAATGATATTAAAATACATGTAAATATATTTACACACACATTTTTAATATTCACAAGCACAAAACAGAATAAATTTAATAAATATAGAATATTACCTGACAGTACGGTACCTCTTTGTAGAACATCATCAATATTTTGTACCATGATTCTTTGGACATCTTGCAATTGGCTATTAAGAGTGTTCAAATTCCTACGTGATCTACTGTCTGAGAAAATCTTTTTAGCTTTCTGGATATATGTATCTGAAAAATAAATATAATAAGTATATAGTTGTGATTCAGTAATGTATTAAGTCTACTGTGACATACCAAATTCAATGAAAGTATAAGGTCTGGTTACTGTATTTACACGTTTGCCATACTGAGCATGAAATTCTTGTGCAATATCTTCCAAGTAATTGTATGCTATACGTGTACTATAATTTCTTTCGCATAATACCAGATAACACACTTCGTTTTCAATTAAATAGCTGTAAACAAATGCGAAAAATATAAAAAATGTAAAATAGCAATAGATCAATGATATATTAACGACAATCATTGCTCACTGAAAAAGATATGGTCCAGTTTCTAGAGTACATCTTGCTGGAGACTGTGGACCTAATTTTCTAAACAACATCTTTGCTTGATTCTGATATTCCACAATATTTTTACCATCCTGCAACAAAAAAACAAACAATTAAACACGATTAATTGAGTTTATTTGAGAGAAACAGATTTTTGCTCCAACTTTTCGTTTGTTCGCGCCAAATAAATCTAAAGACTTCGTTTTATCCTCGTCTTCGTGAATAAAAGATGAATTTTTATGCGCAATTACGCGTTCTCCTTTTAATGAAGAGACACATAATACACAGTCAAAGTGCAAAAAATCCAGCTGTGACATTTCATCATAACATATTTCTAACCTGTTCATTATCCTGCATGGTGGCTGCTAACGGCAGGCCGTCCGTTACCCTCGCGATTATCGTAAACAGGACCATCTTGTCAAAATTCCTATCACCGATTATTATCGTTTCAATACGACACGGGGGAAAAAATTCGCGACCTCCACAGGCCGTTCACGCGAACTGATCGCTAATCCGCCGATGTGGCCGGATCTCGTCCACTCTCGATCTACCACGTCAGTCGATTGCTCGATCGAGCCCTCGTGCAATTTTTTTCCTTCGGATCGGCGACTCACTCGGCGACGATCTCATTCTACTCGACTTGGCAAAAAAGGAAAAAAAAACACTTTGCTCATTATCTACCGAACCCTCATTATCTCGCTCGTCTTTTATCTATACCGAAACCTTGAATCGAATAAGTGCACTTCGAAAGGTGCATATGCATACATGTCCATTTATGGCGGGAAACTCATCGACCAGTCCCGGATCACGAGAATCTTAACGACGCGTGTTCGGAATCACGTGGACGGAAGATTATTAGCGCGCGTTGAGTTTGACAGATCGTCAGCTGATTATTGACGCGCGAATGTCACGCGCGATCTCCAGCTATTCGCGATACTTTGACATCATCCGCGCGAGATGCTCGTATTTATTTTCGAATCGATTCGAAACGTCATCGCGCCATCTCGCGATCGATTCGAGGGTGCGTTCAAAAATTCGATATATAGAATAAAGCGAAACGTTTGATCGGACAAATCGGAACGAAGAAAACTGCGCTTCTTCCATCCTGATTGGTCAACTGAAAGCTACATAAAGTTAGGATCGAATTTTCGAACGCACCCCGATTTTTGACGTTTGACGTAACGCGCGTGCGCGTCCACGGTTTCGCTCGCGTGGAAAGTCACAGACAGCCCCGGACCTTAAGGTGGGGGAGGGAAAGGAAGATTCGTGACGTCCTATAGTCCTACGTCTCTCTCTGTCTTTCGTCGAAAGTCGTCCACCTGTCTCGCTTTCTTGCCTACTCCCGTAGCACACGTATAACGAAATGTCCGCGTACTCGTGAGAATCGGGTCCGCGCGCGGCCATCGACGACGAGAACGACGACGTCCCGTGATCGAGGGAAGCCCGGCTCGGCGGTGGAAACGATGATACGCGCTTATCAGGCGCGCGAGGATTACGATAGTTAGCTTAGGTGAGTGAACGTACGCGTCGAAACGCCGCTCCCGGAACCTCACAGCTGGTAGCCGCTGCCTTCTTCCGCGTCGATTTCGTAAGAGATCGAGTTTCAATCCCGGGTTCTCGGTCAATCGGTCGCGTTGTAAACTCTCTCGTTATCGCGGACGCGGGATACGTCTTTATCGCTCATCCAAATTTACGAAACTCTTATCGCACATATATAGGTATATGTACACGTATATATACACACACAGTCCGTGGCCACTTAAAAGTCGTCCTACGTGTTTGGAGGTTGCGACACTGAGTGTGGTCGATGATTTTTCCCTCGCGTTGTATGAAGACGCCTTTTCGTGTCTAATGACTCATTTATCATTCACAGTCGTTTACTGTCAGCAGCGTCGCGGTGACAAGCATTTCTCGAGGCTTATAGATATGCACGACTGGAATTTAGCTGATTAAGCGCTTTGATGATTCTTGTCTCTCGTCGAGAAAATTTAGAAAAATTTCGTAATTATTGAAAATGTACATTCACTGTAATTGCTGACTTGTTTGAACTGTATGTGTAACACTGGTAAATTGCATAATTATTATATTTCTCTTTATTACCTCTTTTCACTTGAAAATGTATACTCTTGTGTGTGAGTTTATATATCTTTTAATTTGCAGATCTTAAAAATTGTTGTGAAACAAGTCATACTGTCATATAGACAGTATGAATAATGTAAGTATACATTTTGACACTTGTTTTTTTTATAAATAAATTCTATAATCAAACAAGAGGATTTGTATAATTTATCATATAATTGTGTAATGCATTTTTAGAATCCTTATCGAGCCAGACCCACCAGGTCTCGAGTGGATCATTCGGCTGCATATGGAATGCATAATCAAAATATGTGGGTGCCCCTGTCAAGGCCTCAATCGGAGGTTCCAGCGAATGATACCACTCAGCAGCAACCTGTCATGAATCAATCAAAACATGCGAGCAACATGTGGAAAGATCCTTGGGATTGGAATCTGGATCAGCAATCGGATACCCAACAGCAGCCGCCACAACAACCGCAGCAGCAGCAACAACCCTATGTACCACCTTATCAGAATCAGGGAGGACAATTGTTATCTAATTCTGTACAAAATCATTATTACAAGAGTCTCAATGGCAACACATCGGATGTACTTAATCAGAACTCGGGTAGAAATACTCCCAGATTGGAATCTACTCGAGCTCAGAGTGGTCCAAGTTACACGGATTCTTTACCGCCTTATGCCAACTATAATCAAAATCAACAGTATCCGTCACGGCAGAATATTACGAATCCTGGTTATGAGCATGCTCAATCGTCGAGCGAGCAGCAGTCGCAGAACGCAGGGCAGCAGAGACTCTTATCGCAACAGAGTTCTCAGATGGATCAGCCACCGCCAGCTTCGCATAATATTTACAATTGGAGCAAAGAGGACACGTCGCATTTGCCGGCGCAACATAATTGGCAGAACCATACCGATATGCTGGGCAACTGGCAGGATCAAAATATGCCGCAGGAAATGCAGCAGCACGTGGACAATATGGGTAATCAAGTTACGAAACCACCACCAATGTATAACGCGCCACCCGTCGAAGGATTCAACAAGGAACATTCCACCAACTGGTCTAATGGGCAGCAGGGTATCAACGAAATGAGTAACAAGTCCAACACCGTGTCGAATCAATGGCACAATCAAAATAGCGAGGCCTCGATGTCCCATCATCAGTCCGCGCATCTAGTACCAACGAGTAACGTAGACGATACCTTTAGTTCTTGGATGCAATCGCCGAATGTCACGACTGCTTCGCAAGATTGGAGATATTCGAACATTCAAAGTAAATCCGTGCATCCAAATCAATGGTTGCAACAACAGCAACAGCAGCAGCAGCAGCAGCAGGTAGATAACAATTCATTCAAGGAGAACGTATCACAGGATAATAATGGTACTAGATTCGCCGTGAACGAGTGGCAGCAAGTGCAGACGGCGCCGTTCAATTACGCTCCAGCAGCTATGATTATACCTGCGACTGTAGAAATTGTACATACGCCTAACAGTAACGAACAGCAAGAGATTGAAAAACAGGCGACGGTAACTTTATCTCACGAGCCTCTTGCAAAACCGAGCGACATTAAATCATCGGTAGACGATCACAATCTAAACGTAGTGACCGATGATGCGCCGAAAAGTGACATTTCGAAAAGTGTTATCGGCGAGAATGATGATCACACTTTCGTTCCTACAGCGACAGACGAATTAGCCAGCAACTTTGGTCAACTTAATCTCGGAAACAAACCGGGGAGACACGCAGATTATTCGGGTGAATCGTTAGAGGTGTATCCGACTTCCGTGGAAGGCAAAGCTCAACACTCCGCTGCTAATTTTAATGTCACGAGTATCCGTAGTAATCCTATTCCCGACAATATATCCGTATTATCACCGGATTTTGCGCCAAACAGTATGGACAATGCTCATCCCGTTGACAATCAGCCAGCAGCTGTCAGTCAAGATCACCTAATACCGAATACATATCAAAGTGCTACTAAGGTGACGGATAGCATCTCGCAAAGTGGATACGATCAGTGGTATAATCAGAATACACTGGAGAATGCGCATTGGTATGCAAAGGATCATCATTCACGTCTGGGTGCCAAACAATGGAGCAATGCTCCCGAGCAAAATGTAGAGAACTACGAAAACATCCAGCAAACGTCTGACTTCGTGAACGTGGAAGTCGTCGCGCCTACGACGTTGCAGGAACGCGAGATCTACGGTTCGCGGGATTCCATCAACAAGGAGACATTGGACAACGACCCTAGGCCGAGAACAAGTTCGAAGGAAGGTGCGACGAATGTGCGGAGTTTCCGGGAGGAGATGAACAACGTCGAAGTGTTGTCGATGCAGCAGCAACAGCAGCAGCAGCAAATACGGCCGCATCTGCCTTTACAAACGGAACAGATGCCGGACAACTACGAATTTGCCTCGAACGACAGGAACACGTTCTTGGAGACTGGCGAGTTGACGGATTCGCATCAGGAACATGAACCTACGCCGCCGAGTCAGGACGACGAGAACGACGAAGTGCCTAACGACATCCCCTTCTTGCGCGAAGTTCCAGGACAATCGAGCACCATAGATCCACGTAGAAACGATCCTACGGGTCAAGAGCACCACGTGCAGACGACTGGACAACGTCTCTCCGATCCCAGGAGGAACGATCCTTCCGGTCAGGAGCAAAGTATACAAATGAGAAATATATCCGACAGAGTAGAGCGTCGCGATGTTCTTCCAGGTCAGGAGAGAAACGTTCCGCAGTTATTACGAGGAGATTCGGATACATTAGAACGACGGAACGATCCTTCAGGCAGGGAGCGTTCTCTCCCGCCTCTTCAACAGTCGCGAAACGATCCGTCAGGCGAGGAGAGGTATCAGTCTCAGATGATGCTGGAGCCCAGCGAGACCCGCGAGGTTCTCGGCCGAGGCAACGAACCTGAAGAAGTTTCACGGCAGACTCAGGACGCGGCGGAACTCAGACAGATACCGGGTGGAGCTTCTTCCAACGACGTTGCGCAATTGATACCGGACGATAGGACGACAACGACGACGACGACCACGGCGACCGGTGGTAGAGTGGTAACCGGTTCCCTTCCGGAGATGAGCCTTCCTCCGACGATGCCGCAGGATCCCACGAGCGGCGATACCCAAAGCAAACGCGAAGAGGCCGTGGGTGCATCTTTGGAGAGCGAGACTAGCCAGGGTGTTTCCGGCTCGTCGAATCGTCGAGATTCCTACGAGGATGTGGAGGAAGACGAGAACTCTCGCGACAGCCGGGACGAAAGCAGGGAGAGACGACGGGAGGCTAGTCCCGATCGTCGAAGATACGTCGATTATGACCGGAAGAACGAGTATGACCGGAAGAATACGTATTACGATCATGATCGCGAGTACGAGGACGATTATTATTATGATCGTCGGCGGGTAGGCGACAATGATCGTCAGTATAACATGGGGCCTCGGGATGATTTTAAACGACGGGATGTTCCGTATCGAGACGATGATCGGAAACATCACAGTCGCGATGACCTAGATCGATACGCTAGAGAGGATATGGATAGGAGGGCCAGGGGAAAGGAGGACTTGGATGAGAGAGATGGCAGAAGGAGACCGCAAGATGATCGCAGGAGAGAAGATCCGCGTCGACGGGATCCGAGAGATTACGACCCTCGGTATTCTAGGGATCCTAGAGATCCTAGAGATAAGGATTATATGGATCGTGAGAGAAGGCGACCACGAAGATATGAGGATTATGATTCATACAGAAGAGACTATTATTCTACAGATGATTTGTATGGAAGAAGGTAAATTATATATAATTTTAATTAAATGTACAGTTTATTTATTTGTAATTTTGAAAGAAGAATAATTATATATTTTCTTTATTATTATAATAATAGAATTTCTAAAGTTTGGTTTATTTTTTAAAAACATGCTTTGATTATAATTAATAAATTATTTGGCATATTTTACTATTTTTTATTTTTATATTTTTTTAGTTCCAGGCCTTCGAGTAGGTCTTCCTATAATGACAAGGATCGTGAATATTTTGCACGTACAAAGGATCCTTACTACTCATATAATGGTATGTATTGTGATAAAGAAGTAAGATATGTAATAGAGTTTAATACGCAAATAAGAATTAAATATATATTTAATAGCGAATGCAAGATTTGGTGGATATGATTATGGTGCTCTTTATGGAAACAATTATTACGCATATCTTGAGAATTTGCGTCAAACGAATCCTGCCGCTTATGCCGAGTGGTACCACAAATATTACGCCAGCTATCAAGCACAACAACAACAGCAGCATATCGCCAGAGGTGTTGGCAATTATCCAGAGGACAGAGCCAGTGTTCATTCCGGCCGTAGTTCCTGCGATGATAGGTATATTTTGCAATTCGTTTATAGACTAAAAAAAAAAAAGATTTAAAAAGAATTAACATTTTCGAATAGTTATCTACGGCTCTTATAATATTCGTTGTATGTCAGATTTTTTCCAATCCCAAGTGCATATTTCCACTCGTCACACAAGGCATTGTATGTCCCGTATTTCGGATATCCCGAATGGACCGGAGCATGTCTGCGGAAGCATAGTACGGCTTGTCGCAATTTTAATAGGTGAGACCGAGAGTCTCCTCTCGGTTCAAAAGTCTTATGCTAGACGAAATTGAAGAATCCGGCTTTCCTTCCTTTTCTATCCTTACATCAAATTTCTGTCATACATAATTGATTAGATATCTGTAGAGTACGTAGAATATATACATAGTTATTCATATCTAATTACTGATGAGTAGATATTATAATCTATGACGAAAGAAAATAATTTTGGCTAAGCATAACAAAAATATGTAGACTTGTGTGTGCAATTTTATTTGACACATGCTTATTTTGTATGCAATTATGTGCGTTGATATTCATGTATATATATATACACACATATATATATATATACACACAATTGCAAATATGTTCGTAATTCTTTGTTTCAAAAAGAAATAATATTTATTTCAGGACTGGTGATAAACGAACATTGGTTGATACATCGCTTTTGGAGGATTCAACAATCGTTTCTGCTCGATTAACACCGACCAAGTACTCTACATCTCATGCATATGGTATATAACTTGTAATTTAATTTGTATTTCTTAAACTATTGTTTGATATTATTAAGAGAATTTGAAACTTTATCCACAGGTTGCTTCTCAATTGGATCTTTGGTGCATGTTCAGCCAAGTTATCCAGCCGATGGCGAGAGGGCTAAGGTGGACATTTTCCGTGTAGACAGCCTGCTTTCACATGATCCTGTCACACGCGATTTACGATTATATCCAGGACCCCTAGTTAAGTAAGTATATATCGTATATAAAATATATATATATATATATTATAAAAATAATGTGCGTAACACGATAATTTTTTATCGCAGTGGTGTAACGCACAAGAAAACCATCATAGAATACTGTGAAAATAAAATTAAGAAAGCAATGGTGAATGAAGAAATGGTTGATCGCGCTTCTTATATTCTGTTATATGAATTGATGATTATGCTGATTCAACAAAACGGGGTAAGAATTATTTTTTTTAAATTTAGTTTACAAAAAGTTGTCGTAGCTCAAATATACATTGATTTCGTTTTAAACTGTTCTCAGAACGTTGTCGGCGTCGACATTGCCGCGCTTTTACTGCGCAACAAGGACGCTTACCCTCACGATACGAGCAAACTCAGGTCTCAAGATGTAAAGCGCAGAGAATCGCAAGTATCGCAACGATCCGGGGCAACGGGTAGCGACGGAAGTACTCAGGATATTTCCGCGCTATCCGAGAAATCTGAAACTAAACAGCGAAAAACGACGGAGCAAATAACAGACGAATTCAGAGACACATTACTTTATGGTCGGGTTCAAGAAGCATTAGGTAAGAAGTTTTCCTCTTTGTACATTTTCTTCCATTCCTCTTCTTCGTTCAATATTACGAACGTTGCTAACTGATGTCTTCTTCCTGTACCAGAGTTTGCAATGAACGAAGGACTTTGGGGCCACGCTCTCTTCCTGGCTAGTAAACTGGACAAACGCACTTACGCTTCTGTAATGACTCGTTTCGCGAATAGCCTACCACCACATGATCCACTGCAGACTTTGTATCAGCTGCACTCTGGCCGTGTACCTGCTATAGTCACAGTAAGAATCTTATTTCAATACAATAGGTCTGTTCTTTTCAGCTGAACTGGCTGTACTTGTTCAGAGTTTATTTTTTCTCTCTAATATGGAATAAAAAAGATGAACTCTGAACTAGAACAGTCGAGTCAGCGGAATAGACTTAATATATGTATATGCGTAATAATACTAATTATTCGTTATTTTTCTCTACAGTGCGCTGCAGATCCACGTTGGGATGATTGGCGGCCTCACTTGGCTATGATTATCTCCAATACTTCGTCCAGTCCAGATATTAATCGCCGATCCATAACGACCCTTGGAGATACGTTATTCGCTAAGGGAGACATCCACGCTGCACATTTCTGCTACATTCTCGCGGAAATCGATTTTGGTGCTTACGGAGTTAATGGAGTTAAGCTCGTGTTAATTGGCGCGAATCAGAACAAGCCGTATACCGAATTTCTTACAATGGAGGCTGTCATGCTGACGGAAATTTATGAATACGCTCGAAATCTTAGCGATCCGTGCTTCACATTAGTGGATCTTCAAACATTCAAGTTTGATCTGATCGTAAAAATGGTGGATGTGGATTAATAGAAAAAGCTTTATTATATATTGAACAGATTGCAATAAATATTGCGAACAATCCGTCGTTATATAAGAAATCTTTTATCAAATCGATTTATGTGCTGGGTGACCAAATCAAATACCACGATCCGATCTATAAGGACACTGTTGAAGATGTTACGAATTTAACATGGCTCAATAAATTGGCGGAAATTGTCGGAAAATTCCAGGTAATTGTAATATCATTTCTCTTCGATAAAAACAATATACTAATTTTAGAGACTAAATAAAATTTTGTTATAGGGAGAGGAAATTTCCGAAGAAAAACCATACCTAAACGGTTCTCAGGCCGTTGCAGAGAATCAAGAAGTTCACGAGATGCAACAGCAACAATCCTTACCACCATCGACGGCGCAACAACAATGGAATATTAAACCCGAATACGCTGATGGACCTGTATCGATGATGGAAGTTAATACCAACGAAATGCAGTCAAACTGGCAGCCCTTATCTCTGCCTACGAATATTCAAGATACGTACGACCCAAATACACAATACATGAGAAACGTGGATGAATCAGCGCAACATCAACAGTCGCAGCAACAACAGGATTATTGGAATCAACAGTCGTATTATCAAGGCAATTACGGAAGAAACGAATCTACGCTGTCTAATTGGCAGCAACAGTCCATACCAGGCATCGCTGATCAAACTGAAATGAATAACACGCCGCAACTGGATAAGTGGAATTATGAGGTATATTAAATAATATATTACAACGGGAGAAATTTATTGTACATATTTCTTTTATTTAGCAAAGCATTCATTCATTCATTCACATGTATATATTTTTTTCTGACATTTGCATTCTCATATTCTCTTATAAATCATTTATATCATCTCAGTATTGTACTAATTTCATTATTTCATAAATAATATCTGTTCATAATTAGGAAAGTTGACAAAAGTATATTCTTAATTTAACTTATAATTTTTTATATCTCTCACCTATCTCTGCTTTGCGATTAACATTTTTTCACCTGTTTCTGATGCTTGCACATCGACAGACGGAAAGGGAAGACAAAACGCCCACTCCTGAAGTAAGTAATTACGGATTTATCTCGGATAATATTCTCGATCCCGAAGGATCGTCAGATGCTGCCGATATTAATTTGTTACGACGTCGCCGTAATGTATCGGTGAAGTCAGATTCATATGTCCCTTCTGTATTTAACGAAAGAGTAGCTAATCTCGACGTTAGAGCTCAAAATATTAATAGGAGATATCCTAAATTGACCGCGAACTATCCGAAAATTATGCAAAACGACAAAATTCATCTGAAAGATATAAAAAAACCGAGACGCATAGATCCGATATTTTCGAAACCGCCGAGCTCGCAACCACCCGTGTTCTTAAAATGTAAGACTAATAAAAATAGTCTGTCGGAGGATAGAGAGGAGACAGTTTCGGACGAAAAGAACTTATCATTGCAGACCACGGATCTAGATATTCAGTTTAGCAAATTGCAACTCGAGTCTCTCGTAACGTCAGATTCAAGCTCTTCCGAGGCAAAAAAGAATCGCGCTTTCGACAGATGCGGAGTACAGACTTTGAAACAATATTGTAACTTCGAGGAGAAGAAAGTCATGAGGGTGGCTCCGCATATTCGCAGGAAGGACGTCATCTGCGATACGGTAGACGCGTGGTCTTATGATAGCACCGGGCAGAATATTTCGGAATCGTCCAGATATAAACCACTGGTCTTCGGTGGCACATATCCAATTGATTTGCCGCTTAGATTCAGAAATAATAATCATTCGGCGGAAGACACGTTCGTTAAAAAAGATACGTCTTCGACTTACGACATTGATATTCCTACGAAATGCGACTAAGAAATAACTTGTAAGCTCTTATAGTCGTGGTTTTTTTTCTGTAAGTTAAATATAGGAATAACGTAACAACTATAATAACTCTATATTGAAACATACACTCATACAAACACGTACACATATATCTGGATTTCCTTGTTTAAGTATTTTCTAATTTTTTTTTAAATGTGATAATGCATAAATGTTTAATGAAATAATAAGATGGAAGGTAGACGAGAAAATTATTAACAGATTTATTATACATAATTGTTCAGTTTATATATGTTGAAAGAAATTTCAAATTTTATTATCAGTTTTTTATAGTCAGTATGTGAAAAATGTTAAGATATTCTAACAATGAGCAAACCTATATACCTGTGATCAAATAGAAGCGTAAATTACTCTCTCGTCGCGTTAATTACGACATTGTGTAATTTTACAGGATTTTAACATTATTTTAAGTGCTATGTATATAGATATATTGTTGTTACTGTTGGCAACGAATGTATAATAAAGTTTTCTCATAATGCACTCTCTTTGAACTTCTTGAAATTATAATTCTTCGTTACATAATTGCACACATATATACAGAGTGTTAAAAAGAAATTTTCAGATTTAAAGGGCATGTAATATAATCGTGGAAATGAATGAAAATTGCTACATCAATAATGAAAAATTTAACAAGTTTAAAAGCGATTTTCAATTTTAAAGAGAGAGAGAGAGAGAGTGATGTAGAGAATTACTTGCTTCTATTTATCGTGTGCAATATATATAAACAGAGAATTATCATATTTTTGTTATTCTACGTTCTACCATTTCCAGATATTTCATATTTTTATTTACATTTGTGCGTTCCCCAAAATTATTTTGTTTACCCATCTTCTAGATTCACTACGTCTAACAATTACTTTATTATAATCATCTATAATTAACATGTTGTTACTCATATTATTAGGTTTTAAATTGTTGCTAAAATCGAAAATCACTTTCAGTTTTAATAAAATCTTTTAATCCTTGATGATTAAGCAGTTTTTATTCATTTTCAATAATTATTACATGCTCTTCTTTAAATACTCTATATGCTACTTATCTATTTTCGACATTCTGTTGTATAATACGGGTCCTGTTTTTCTATTTCTGGAATGTTATTATAGAGATACTATATCTTAAGTAAATTATTTTAGGTGAGCAAAGTTTTTCATTTTTTACTGTAATACTTGTAAGTCGCATACGGTTTAATTTCAGAGTGTCTCTATAGTGCGGAGCGTTTCTCAAACTTAATAATGTTATAGGCACGTTACAAGCGAACTCGCATTGTAATACAGTAAATAGTGATAAACTTTGCTGAAACAAGCTTGCGATGATCAATCCTATATTTTATTTCAGTCAAGTGTGCAACCGACAATTTCCATGACACCGTCGACGGGTAAACAATACGATCCGTTGGAGGAATTGGATGCACTCGACACACCACATTCGAGTAACCCTCGACGGAGACGAAGAAGACGAGCGAGAAGGCAGAAAAAAATCCGCCAACAGCGGTGGCTCCTGGTTCGGTGGTTTGTTTAGTAAACTCGCGCCGAAGCCGAAGAATCAAATGATCTTGCCGGACGATAGAAATAAATCGGTAAGAATCTACATCTTATTATATCTTCTCTCTTTTAGGTAGAAGTTACGATAGACGGTTTTATGTTTTATGTCGTTAAGGGCTTGCGCGGATACTTTTGGTAATAGAATGCGCTACACTCTTACAACAATGATTATAAGACGGACGATAAACAGGCCAGTATAATGCAGGATTTTTCTTTCTGACCATGTATCACTGACTAACTATTTAATTGCCATTAACATTTTCCTAAGTTCGTTAGCTAGATTTTTCCCCTAACACGAGAGAGCTCAAATGGACGGAGAGAAAGAAGCGTTATTCGTCAGAATTAACATTTTCGTTCCAATGTAATCGATCCTGTTGTCTTTTGTATTGCAGATTGTATGGGACTCCGCTGTCAACCAGTGGGTGGATAAGGACGAGAACGGCGACAGTGGTGTCGCGGCCTTGGTGCCGCCACCGAAGACGTCCGACATGAGTTTCCGGGGAGCACCGGCGATGGAGAACCGCGGTGCTCCTTCGCAGCCGCTTTCGCCGAGCGGCGAAGACGCATCGACGATGGATGCCGTTCCGAAATTGCCCACAGGTAACAGCAACATGTTCAAACTGCAAAAGGGCAGGAGTATGCGTGCCAATTACGTGGACGTGATGAATCCCGGCGGGGGTAAACCCAAGACCGCCACGGCGTCGTCCACCCCCATGACGTCTCCACTGGTACCTATGGCCACGTCGTCCCCGCAGCTGTTCATCCCCACGCCAAGTGAGTCGCTGGAGTTTTAACAGGCCCTTGTCGAGCTGGCCCACTTTTCAAAAATAAAAAAAACAAATGGCTTATAATAATGAGTTACTTATGAGCTTTTATATCCGCAAATTAAAAATTTTTAACTTGTCGCATTAAGCAGGAATTAAAAGTATTTTATGAGGGAGGGCGGAGTCGACGTCGACTCAGCCCCCCCACAGCTAAAAAATAAAAATATTTAATCAATCTTGGCAGAATTACGAGCTTTTAAACGTATATATGTAGTTTTGATTTTTGAGCTGATCCCCTAGTCCCCAAACGACCCTTTAATTTTTTGAATTTATGAAATTCAAGAGAAGGGGACTAAGAGGATGATCTCAATGATCAAAACTATATACGTTTAAAAGCTCATAAATAGCTCATTATGAGCTATTTGTTTTTTTATTTTTGAAAAGTGATGGGGCCAGCTCGACAGCGGTTTAACAGGGTGTATATTACTGGGAAAAACTTTGAAAACTTGTTGTTCTCTCGGGGAATTTTATTTTGCCTTGAAAAATCAGGGAATTAATATGGAATTTGATTGAGATTCGGGAAATTTTTTTTTAAATTGCCCTTTTGATCATTTTCCTTTTAGCACTAAGAAATATATGTCTAACATCCTTTATTAAAATTTTATGTGATTTTTTTTTATTGACGATCTATTTCAGTATCAAGATCTTATTAAGTTTCATAAAAAATTGTTCAATTTTTTAATAGGTAATTTAAATAAATTAGTATTTCTTATTTATTTAATAAATAATTAATTAAATAATCAATTAATTTAATGGAAGGAAAATGTATTAGTAACACTTTTTTTTTATCATGTAACAGTTAACGATTCAACCGCTCCTGTGGATTTCTTGACCCCGGCAGCGACACCGCCGTCTGGAAACATCGCAGAGAATACGCCGCAAGCAGTAAGTAGTCGCAAAAATCTACTTTCGATTATAAGAATATACTAAACTACATACATATCCGTTACTGAAATATACACAGAATTAAACATTTAATACAATTTCACACGTACATGTATATGTCCCTTCCTTAAACTCGCACATTACTCTTGTTAGGGATTCTCCCTACATTATGGCTGCAGTTTGCTGGTATGCAGCTTTCTCAGCGTTTTTTTTTGTAATATTAACATAATTTTCCTGCATATGATTCCTCTACAGTTATTGTATTCAATTATTTATACACTTTGGATTCGTTTTGTATACATTGTATACTATTTTCTCAACGGTCTCATCATAATCTCTTTGAATTAATATCGTATACTTATCTTAGTTTATTATGTCCAATCTATTATCGGAGATAAATTATGTAGATATTCTCACGAGAGATATTTAAATCTATTATTTTTATACAGATTGCTCCAGCACTATGCAAAAATCCTTCTTTAAATAGATAAATAATCTAAATGATTAATAGCGATTAATCGAGATAGTCTCTCTATTTTAGTGACTACGCTTTCTATTTTAGTGACAGTAATACTTAAACTCTCTCCAATTGCTACATTATCTCTTTCGTGTATATCTATTTTAATCTTACCCTTCTTTTTATGTTCCTTAATGCAAGCAGTCGAAGAAGCCAAATGATGTAGCCAAATAATAATTATTGCCGATAGTAAGGACATTCATTCTATTAATTTGACATATCATTATTTGGTGTTTTGGGCACGCACGCGCGCTTTCTTATCCACCGCTTGCGCGAATATAACAGTCGTGTATTATAAGAAAGCTTTTTTGCGTGAAAAGATCGTCAATCATGTTGCATTTCATACAACTAATTGTAAGATTAACGCTTTGTGTGTGATTTTAATTTACTATGCATGTGTTATCGCTTTATGTTAACAATTTTACGTAACAAACAGAAAGGTAATTAATGAAATAGCAGTAACATATTTGACTGTGAATAATTTTATGTATAACACAAATACTTTTTGTAAAATATTCCAACGTTGATTATTTGTGTATATTTATATTATACCAGTAATCGAAGCATGAGAGAAAGTATTCTTTTGAATTTGCTTTAAAAAAACGCAATATAGTACACGAGAATATAAATCGCGTAATACCGATTTTTTATCTTTTACGCTGCAACAGGTAGCTTTGTTTGATGCTTTATTAAGCGAGTTCATTAAAATGTAACGAGGAAAGATACATATAACGTATAATCGCGCATAAATCGGTATTATCGCTCGAAGATATACATAACACAAGATAAGACTTAGTTAATCACCCAGCGAACTGGCGAATATTTATTAGTGAGACAACATTATTATATGGCATATAGCTCTCTCGCTGGAGCTCGACCAGCTCATTATCGCGAGAGGTGCAGAGCTACACAATGAGGGATCCGCGGCTTCTTCAACGGAACAAGGTAATCCAGCGGCATTAACTTTCTCTGCATTTTCAAAGTCTTGATCTTTTTTTTCCTTTTTTTTTTTTAATTATTACCGCAAAATGCTACGCTAGTACAATTTTTTTCCGGATTAATACGTTTGCTCGCGCGCCGAATATAAGACTTTTTAACTCTCTCAACGATGCTTCTATTAAAAATTAGCTTATAGGCTTATCAATCACTGTCAATCACTATCCTCATGAGATCATTAATCGTAATCATAATGGAAGAAAGCTTGGTGAAGGATGTTGGGTTCAAGTTTAGGTTTTAAAATAAGTTTGCTCGTCAAAATCAATTCCCTTTACCTTCCTGTTCTATTTTATTATCCAATTGTAAGACATTATATATATAATTGTTCCTTTTAATTTATATTGTATCTTCTTGCGCTGTGTAAATTGCAAATGTGAAATTACATATTTTCAATGACAGAATCAACAAAAAAAGATTATGTTTCTTTACTACTTACATGTACGTTATAGCTAATATAAATAATAATAATAATGTAAAAACATATAAGAATTTCAAATATTCAAAGCAATTAGAGAAAACTTATTTTCATCTCTAATGCATTTATTATATACAACTCTCTCGTACGTGGTTAATTTTTTACATCGTATAATTAATTTTACATGCTTTAAACTGATAATAATTTCCAGGGACCAATGATGTTCAACCCGAGTGACATAAAGGATCGTTCGGTGAAGAACATACCATCTAACAGATATCCACCGCGATAATCTTTGCTTATGCAAATAATTTGTTATTTAAATTAGGAAATTCTTTTCTTATTGTCTCACAATTATGTTTAATTATGAATATTTGTTTCTGTATAGAAAACGTGACAACAACAGTACATTCTTTAGAGTGATGCTTATATGATGCAACAGTTTTTTTTCTGCAAAAGTAGATGTATATATTTAAACAACTTAATAATTCAAAAGACGTCATTCTTACGATGCCCTGTACATTTCGTTGTCTAGATACATTTTTATATTGAATTTTGTTCCAATCTTGATGTTATATTTATCGTGTTGAATTAGAAATTGCAATTAAAATTATTTAGAAAAAAAATACAGTTTCCGTACAATAGAAGGATATACGATTTTAATGGTGCAATATAATAGCGGAAATAAATAAAAAAACTCGAGTATGCGTTTTCTGATTTGTAAATTAAATAAATTTTTCATTTCCCAATTAAAAAAAGAATGTGCTCTTGTTTGATAAATTTTTACGGAATGTTTCATGCAACGAATTTATTTGGAAAGTTATTTAGTTTCCGCATAATGTTAGAAACGCGCATTTCTATTAGAATAATCATCATTATGTAGAAATGCGCGAGTGCATTCCCGTTATATTATTATTACATTATATATATATATATATATATTATATTCGCTTAGCTTGTAAGTATTGTCATCCTACAAACGAATTCGATGTCGCGCGAAAAAAAATGTCAAGTTCTGTGCGTGCTGTTTGAATTATATACAAATGAGAGGTAAAGGAGTTTTTACCTGCAACTTGCAATCACAAATTTAATTAAGTTACGATAGCCCTTTTCATTGAAGAGTGTCTTGTAGTTGTATGATAGATAGAGCGAGGATTGCATATATAAATTGTAGGCTTAGCTTCGTCGCAAAATTTGTTACAACACGGCCTCGTCGGTACATGTGCTGTAATTCTAAGTCTGATTTTATATGCCGAAAAGAAGGGAAATAATGTGCGCAACGCCGGTGAATAAAACATGTTAGGAATATGAAAATTTTATCGATCGTAAGGGTAGGGAGAAGTCGCGTTAATGAGAAGAAGTGTATAATAGAGAAATACTGTTATTAAATGTCAGATTATATATTTATATAATATTGATACACCAATAATACGCAACTGCCATCAACGTGGATAGTGCGAAGAGTGATGATGAAGAGCGTTTGTATCGCGTTTCCACTGCGTTTCAATCGCGTTAGATTTATAAGATTATTATTATACCCGTTGGTGTTTATCTCCGCGAGGGATTCGATAATACTAGAAGGTTGTGAGAGAACTGACGAGAGACGCGCGTAAGCATCCTGGCCAAGGAATATATAGATGAACTTAGTGCTTTTACGCCGGGATATTTTTTATTGAAAAATAAGTATTTTAGAATACTCAATTTTCAATAAATAGGATGAACTTTCACACTCGTGTGAAGGTTCTACTTTACGTCGTTCGAGTTATCATCACTGTACGCTTTTTCCTGTCTTAATTAAATACCATCCAACTGTTAACGGCAAATGTAAATAAAAAAAGAAAAGTTTCATTGGAAATATCATCTTCGGCGCGATTTTTCTGGTTAGTAAATTTCTTCTAGAATTTTGAAATAAAATTAAAATTTTCGACAGAATCCTTCGGATGGTAACACATTTCTAGCATGTAAATGTCCGATTTGTTTTTGCCATTGATCACAATTAGAACGGACCGAAATTTTTGTAAGTTATAACACTCGTAACATTTTATATTTATGACATATGACGTATTAAATGTATCGTAGGTATGCATAAATATATATATATACATATATATATATATATATATATATATATATATATGTTGCAACATGAATATTGTTGCGAGGCAATGTAACAATATTATTCGTAAATTATATCTGTATACGTAAAGTTAAAAATTTGTACATATTCTAAATGTAGATTTCATAAAATTGTCCTGTCATATTTGTCGTGTCATATGGAAAAATGTTTATATAAAATTCGCTTGCTTTTTTTTTTTAATATTGAGACAGAAATTGAACGTAAACGCGCTACGCTTTCGTCGAGATGAAAGGCAGTAATTAGAGCCGCTCTATTTGTGATGAATGGCAATTTATTACGATAAATATTGTCACTAATAAATAAATTTTCGTCGAAAGTTTGCGTAATTTATAGCGAAACGCGCAAACACGTGTTACACACACGTTTTAATCTTTGCACACATTTGATGTAATCGAGAATTCGGGCGGAAAAAGCTCATAGGTAGTGCAATTGTATAAATACAAGACTGTAACACCTCTTCTATTTCTTTTATTATTTGTCATCCTTGAAACACAAGTTTCTGTTGCACGATGTCTTTTTACGACGAGATATTATTATAAAATGAGTATAATTGAATTCGCCCGAGAGCTCGAACAGTGATATATATTACGACGGAATAACGTGAAGGCGAGGAAAAGAGAGGATTTTAAGATTAATGTTAAAGTTGAACAGAAGTATTAATCGAGCTGTAATGTATGTATAGGCCGGTTTACGAACGACACGATTCGTCTTTGATGTAATATATAATATATATTGCTATATATATATATATATACGTGCGCGTTTACGCACTTTCCAATTTAGAGTTGATGTATGTTTATGGGAAATACGGATTATATATATATAATAATGATAAATAATATAATGATAACAATGTATACTGTATATTAATACGATTTACTGTCATATACATACATATATATGTATGTATGTGTGTGTGTGTGTGTGTGCGTGCATGTATGTATATGATATATATTAATACATATTAATATATATAAAATATATTAATACATATATAATATATATTAATAGATATTAATATATATAATATATATATAATACATATTAATATGTGTATATTATATATATTTATACAAACATATACATTATTATTGATATAATAAATGCAATATCAATCGAGATCACGTATGTGTGTGTGTGTGTGTGTGTTGCGACGATTTCTTAACAACTACTAGGATGTATCTCGGGATACGAAGGGAGGAGAATATGCACATAATCGAACTATATTATTTTCGATCCTTTTATTAAGTTTATCATAATGTTTCGAATCGATACAATGATTTCTGTGGTATACTCAACTGTCGTCTTTCGGGCCACAACGTCGACGATCGTCTCCCGCACACACGGACGTTATACTCTGAGATCATCATACGTGTGTGTCTGTGTATCATGTGTGTATACGGAATAAATCGGCGATGAGACGTCTCGCGCGCGCGTCTCCGGCGTAAAAGAGAGAGAAGCGCGTGTGCGCTCGTTTTTTCCTGACCAATACGAAGAAATCAATCCAAAAATATCAACGTTTCTGCGGCGCAATATCATCGGGACAAATTGGTCGAGAGTTGGACATTGAGAGGGACATCATGGGGAGCTGGAAAAAGAGGAAGGAGGACTCTTTTTCATTTAAAGCGACGACAGTTAACGCCGTGACACCGACGAGACACTCCGTAGAGGCGAAAAAGAAAACGCAAAATGCAGTTTAACAATCAGTATTTATCAGCGTGCAGCGTCGAGCGAACGACTCGACCCCCACCGGCCGTTTGTTATCTATATATTTTGTCATTCCTTTTTTTTCTTACGCTCTACACACAATAAGGAAAATATTAGGAATTAATATTAAATATTGAGAATAGAAATTTTGTCTCAAAATAAAATTGAAAAAACTGATGTACATACAAATTGATTATAAGAAGTTCTTATATACCTAAATTTGTATTTTCATATTAGTCTTTTCAATTTATTATTTAACAAAAATTCTTATTCCTAACATTTTATTAATATTTATTTCCTTCTTTTCCCTATTGCGCTTAGAGCCTTACGCCTTTATCGCGTACCGGAAGTCGGAGAGGGTAAGAAGAAACCGGAGCAGGGGATGAGGATGACCGGGGGAGACGTGGGAGAAGAGCGCGCGAAGGATATAAATATATAATAATATCTTATACCGCGTGTGTGTATATATCCGTAAATACGTTGAACGTTATTTCTCTCTCATTTCTCTCTCTCTCTCTCTCATTCACTCGTTCTCTTTCTCTCGCTTGCTCGCACATCGCGCATCGGTATTATCGATCTGTATTTCTTTTTTTTCTTTTTTCCTTTTTTTCCTTTGTGTTCTCGTTTCATTTATTAAATGTTAGGTAGAGCCTATAAGGGGCGTCCAAAGGCGCACTCACAGCGAACCTCGGGCGCGCTTTTCTCGTATACTAGCTGTGCCGGAACGCACTTGTACTGGTCGCACGATCGGCGAAGGATTCGGCTAAAGATAGCTTGGCCGTAGTCGAGAGGGACCGTGGTATATAATTTTAAACCATTATCATGAGAATCCATTTACTTTTACGACTATATAGACACGGTTATCAAGCGATAATCGCCGCAATCGCGAATTAATCCGACATCAATTACGATCAATACGGTTTTTATCTTGTTGTTTTTTTTTTACCAATGTAAAAAATGAGAACGAAAAGTAGAGATACTCGGATAAATACCACGTTTCTCTTCAAAATTGTTTGCCGAATTACAGAATGCATCAGTGATTAAACTTTCCCTCTAAAAAAAAAAAAAAAAGGAAAAAAATTGAATTAAAATTCTTTAATATTCGGGCACGATTTGTAAAAATTGAATGAGATTTTGAGATAAATTGCGGAGAGAAAATTCGGCGGTCGATCTTTAGCCGAGCGATTCGCTCGCGACATATTATTTAACAACAGAGTTTAACCACCTAATTGTTCGGAGGATACTCATAACTCTCGTCTTCGACTTTGTTTATACAATGCGAATGGGATATCCTTTTTTTTCTCGTTTACCTACGCACTAGGTAATAAACGATTCGTTTTGCATTTCATTATTACAATCAATAAACAATAAGCGAAAGAATCATCGTGGTCTTTGATCAGGTATAAACGTTTGAAAAAAAAGAAAAGTACATTTTTTGTTTCTCTTTCTCGAGTCGACATGATAAACTTTAATAAACCCATAGAGCAGCGATACTTGCCATCGTCATAATGGTACAATCACAATGCGAGAACCGCTAATAATAATAGTAATAATGATAATATCAATGAATAATAATAATAATAATAATGGCAATATATAATACTTAAAAATAAACTAAAAATAACTAATAATAATAATAATCTTCGTCGTATATTAATTACCACCGTCATTACAATGATGCACTTATGCCATTATGGTTGCCTATATACTATCCTCTTTTATATATACTTCTATATATATAATATATATAGCTACAATATATAATATTTTCGTGTTGAAAAATCGTATACATTAGTGTTGTGTCGCAGGACCATTGCTTCTGTCTCTCTCTCTCTCTCTCTCTCTCTCTCTCTCTCTCTCGCTCATTCTCACATCTCGTTTTTCTTTCAACGCGTCTCTTATGTATAGCATTCCATTCTGTTATATATTTTTTTTTTGCTTTTGATGGATCGCAAAGAGGGGAGAAGGGGAAACACTGTCGTCGATGGCTGGAAGCATTCGTGTTGATGAAGATTTCTCAAAGCCAAAACGGATCGCACGTTTGCAGAAAATCGTACCGGAAGAAACATCACCGTGGAACGAAGAAGATCCTCTCGTAAGTTTATGACGTTTCACGCGTCGATTTTAAAAGGCAACTTTTTATGCCGCAAAAAGCTGACAAATATGAAAAATTCAATGCTATATACTGGCAAGATTTACCGGTTATATTCTTAAAATTTGGAACGAGAGGAAGATTTGCTTCTTCGCAATTTACATTTTCCAATCTTGTAATTAATGATGTAATAAAAGACGAAAAATTTAAAAAAAAATGCATTTATACGTGTAAATATGAGAATTTCGAATTTTTCGATATATCGATATATCGTTTCCAAATTTTTATTCGAGGAGGGATCCTCGCTTCCGTGAAGACAGATAAATTCTGACCGGGATTGAGGGGCGAGAACACGAGTGCCTCCAGACACGAGCGCGTTATGTAATCTTAATAGCTTAATATCGATTTTTAGTTCGTATTACCCGCCGTTCAAAGACGGGCCTCGGATCACAGATAGTGAGGTGATCGGATTGCGCGAGCGTTATCGCGATAACAATGCGGTCTCTATCGTATTCTTTTTTTTAATACTCTTTTCTTTCTCTCACTTTCTTTTTTCTCACTCATTCACACACACTCTCTCTTTTCTCTCTTTAAATTTGTCAGTATGCGTTCTTCCTGCGTTTCTCCTAAGGATTTCAAGGCGACAGCTCCTGAAAGCAAACAGCATCCGGCCGTGTACGCGCGCAAAAATCACTCACATCGTGTAGCATCGGAAAAAATCGTCCGAAAAGATTTGCAAGAGAAATCGAAATATAACATTTTGATTTGATTTTATCTAATGTTCGCGGAACTCGATATCATATGTACAATATAACAAATTATAAATAAATTGTTTCTTTTATATCCGGATAAAATTCTATGACTTATGGAGAGAAAAATATTTCTGAGCAACCATATTCGCGCGTGCACGTCCAATCGAAGAATTTTTTCCATTTTTTGTCTCTTAAAACGCAATCCTCTACTCGATTAGTTAATAACAACAGATCTCTTCTTCTCCGCCACGTGGATTGACGTGCGAGTTATACAGATACGCGCAAAAAAGTATATAGAATATATATATATATATATATATATATATATATATTTTTTATACACATGTATATACGTATACACAATACATATGTACCTACGTACGTACGACTAACTAAGGGTAGACAGGCGCAATCATGTGTTTTGTGGATCGAGTCCGATCGAATGGCCGCGCTCGAGAATTCACCGAAACGTCAAAAACAGCTGATCGGTTGTCATCTCGAGTCGCTCCCGATTTCGGATTCGATGCTGTGTGTATGTGTACGTGTGCATTATGTACGATGTATGTCGAATAATGGAATTGACAAAGACGAAGAAATAAGTTTGAAAGAAACAAATTTTAATGAGATTTCGTGCTTGGGGTAGCGTAATTAGAGAGAAAAAAAAAGAAAAAAATCATGGGAGGAAGGGCGAGAAGGAGAGATGGAAAACGGCTCGCAATTTTTTTTTTCGAGCTCGGTCGCAAATATACGGTCATGCACATCAATTTTCTAACGCAATCGCTCGGACAATGTGATTTTCGCATTGCTGGAATCGAGAATGCGAGCGATTTAAAAATATTGCTCCAATAGGTTCAAAGCTACGGATGCGACGTCGAGAACGAATTTTTCAACAGCAGCTCTTGGATATACATATAGGATAATATACTTATATATACGAATTCTGAAGTATATATAAGCTGTATACAATCTTTTTATATTATATATACAAAAATAAAATTAATTAACTATATTAAAGATGAATTTCTTAACTTAATCTTCATTAACAAATTGTCACTGACAATTGATCTATTCACAATAGCAATGAGACGTTCATTTTCTTTTCTCTATGCATGTTTGAACCTCTTGGTATAACGCAATGTGACAGATCATCAGCGCATGGGATCTTGAAGCTGAACTTAAAAGATAATAAGAAGGCCCGGGACTTAAATCGTAAATAAACATAAGAGATATTCGCTAGCATTACATAAAAAAGGGTTGACATGTCGAGAAAACGAGTAACAAGGCATTAAGATGTAAAATCGCATGGAGAGAAGAGTCATATGTGATTGTGTGTATACGTGTAATTTCGAAAAGATGGCAGAGGAGTGTTTCCAAAATTAATTTTTTCGGAAGCTCATTTTAAGCAGAAGATAATTTTAATTAAAAAAAAAAGATAATTTTAAATAATTTTAATAAAAATAAATTTTTTAGACTGTCAAGACGTGATTATATGATTCCTAGATAAAATTTTGCAAAACGAGAAATCGAATGACTTAAAAACAGCTTGGAAATGACGTTTTCGCGCAGCTTTTGATTCAAGGGATTTGGAAACACCGTCAGCTCGTAGAGCAAGGAAATTACCTCTGATTTGTATACGCTCTTTCCCTAGCTAGATGCGTGTGTACGTCGACCTCTATTATCTTCCGAGAAACGAACTTCCGCCTTAAGGAGAGCACACTGACCTGCGCTTTCGTCGCTCGCGTGTCTCTACTATTATTCTCATCCGCAGATTCTCGTTAAAATTGCTCGCTATAAGGTAAGACCGGATATCGAGGATACGTGAAAGGGATGCAAACGCGAGACTCCTTCTCAACTGTCAGTGTCAACAGCTGATTATTTTAAATTAACCAGAATTTGTTTTCCGCGACACACACATCCATCTGCACGTATCCCTCCAATAATACAGCCAAACGAGAAAATTAATCGAGAACGAACGCTTCTCATATTCGGAACACATTAGCGAACGATTGAAATCGTATACGGGTATTTTTTTTCTCTTTCGTATCGATGGGGGAGAGCTATATGTATGCGTATGTGTGTGTCTGTGTGAGAGATGTATATTTCTCGCTCGCTCCTCTCTACACGCATCGTTCGCACAATCTCTCTCGCCTAATAATATTGCGTGTTTGTCTCGACGCAGAAAAGATGGAAGGAAAATAAAAAGAAAAAAAAAACACAGAAGTCTTAGACGCGCGGTCGCTTTTCGTTTTCCCGGTCGGAATCAGAGTCCGCTGAATCGTGGAGTGGCGGAAATTCGGGCACCGCTTCGCGTTGTTGCATCCATCCCGGCGCGCCTGGCCCCCCAGCCAATGCCTTGCCCTGCGTCATGTTTTTTCGATTGTTTGTTTTTTGTTTTTGCAATTGATTTTTAGCCCTCTGTCTTTATTATCCCCTGCAGGATGGCGACAAAATAGCGTGTCATTGGTCGCTAAGCCTCGACCCGATAAAAGAAAAACTCTTGCTTTGTTTGTTCACGCTTCGCTTCGCAAAAGAGAACGTCGGGCCTTTCATCCCCCTTTTTTTTTACCCCTTTCGGGGATGGCATCGGCCGAACTTTCTCGAAGCTCGGCACGTTGTATTGGCCACGGCGGCAACGAGAGATGCAGAAAAAATGGGCAAATAAAAATTCGAAACGTTTTTCTCATCATCGTTTAACTTGAATTTTGATTCTGCAATTTTTTTTTTCAAACTGAAAGCAAAATGTGACTACATATTTGAACGTCATCTCTCGTTACTCGTGTCGGGAAACAAAAAAGGATTCGAGCGCTAATTTCGAACGCAAAAGCGAACATCATCAATAATCGGGAAAAATCCTTTCGAATTTGGCCAATGCAACGAACCGGCGTCTATTATTTTCTACTACTGTGTCTACGCGAAATTCTGAACTCTGCAAAACGAGCTACAATGAAATTTTGAAACCATTCACTCCCTCTCTATCACCCTCTCGCGTATACTCATCTCCAATTATTCAAATAATCTCTCAAATCAAGACAAATAAAGAGACGCACACACATACTACCTTGTAAGACCAGTATAAGACACGTGGGCCTTCGAAGATGTGTCATTATCTCGTAATTCGGATATCTTTCAAATCAACTTGATTTCTGGATTAATTCTAATCATACAATCTGCAACTTGTGAAAGTTGTTACACCATTTAAAAAGAAAGAAAAAGATTGAGATTATTTTTTCGAAGGCTCTCGTGTCTCGAAATTCTACATGCAGCCATGCATGTCACGAAATGTTATCTGCCCTAGTATCTCTCTTCAACTACAGGATATATACTCCAACGCTGCCTTGTCTCTTCCTTCTATCAACCTATATACTTATCATACGTGTAAACTGTATGTACGAATTGTGTATGTATGTATGTATGTACGAATTGTATGTAGTGTAGGAAGAGCTGCCTTTAAATAAGTATCTCTCTAAGGATTAAGTATCGAAAGCCGTGTATAAGGAGCGACACGAAACCGCTCGCAACAGGGATACGTTGTCAAATATTCATGTGCAAACGGGAGATTCGTGTAACTCGACCTTCCATCGTTGCCTCTCGTCGAAATTAATAATAAAAATAGCAGGAGGTAATTCTCGAGTAATTTTCAAAGCCCCAATTTTGAAATTCCGCGACTGGAAGAATCATCGCGGGGTTGAAATTATCGGTTCGCGCTTCTTATGTCTGTGTATGTATGCGTGTGTGAACAATTAATAATCGAAAATTAACTTATCGCTTGCTGCCACCGATCTTTACTATCTAAGAAAAACGGCCTATCTAATTCGTATTTCTAAAACTTAAAACAAAGTTCCCAATATCAAAATCTTATTGCACACTTAGCGAGATCTAATCCTAAGGGAAGAGCTCGAAGGCTTTCGGGGACATCTTTCTGGAGGGAATAATAAACCGCACCATCGGGTGGAAAGTCCTCCGCTTTTGCCAGATACATATATAGATATATATATATATATATATGTATCATCGATGTAACTCAGGACTCTTCTCCTCTATTGCCGTCGCATTTTCCCAATTCTTCCAATGTCGATATCATTATTCTTCAAGATGTGGACCGGAACGTTGCCATGTTAACGAGAGAGATCATTCGCGAATTTTTCTGTCGAAAAAAAAATTTTTTTCGTCTCTTGTCGAAATTTCGATATTTATTCGTCAGATTCGCAAATTTCGTCATTTTCTAATAACGTCGGATTACTCGTCTCCACATTTCCTGCTCGGGGACACGACGCATATTTTTAACGCGTTTTTCCCCTACATGTAGCTTATTGTGTTAAGTTCCCAAATAAATTCTACTCCTCGTGGTCTCTACGAGCGGAGGATCTTCCTTCTTCGCGCGACAATCTCGTAAAACCCGGCTCGAAGTAAAAATTTCGAAACACGTCCCCGGGACACGTGTGTATTCTACCTGAATACATATATATATATACATATACACATATATCTGTATGTATGTATTGCACATCGATGAGTTAGATGAGAACCGAGCTCGAGGCATCTCGCGAATCGTAGAATTCTAACAACGTTTCTCCGACTACTTCTTCTCGTTCTTAGAATCTCACGCGAAATCCACGATTATTCTTCGAATTGGTCTCCCTTTCTCGCTCCGAGAAGAATTCTGGGGATAGAAAATTACGCTTGTTGCAACAAAGGACGATGTCCTCTTGATCGGCCCCTTCGTTAGCTTTTCGCAAAAATCTCAGCTCATCTTTTTACCTCTCTTTCTCTCTCGCGTTTTCTCTCATTTTCTGTGTCTCTCTCTCTCTCTTTTTCTCGCATCGAGTTTACGGCGAGTTTCGTTAGATACGTTTTGCGAGAGGTTTTAGGTCGGCCTGACACGTCACTGGAAACACAATAAAAAAGCACGAGAGGCCGAGATCAGTGATAGACGGTCTCGATTTCACGTCTCATAATTTTCCCCGGCTGTGTGATTTCATTCTCTCTCCCTTTCACCCTCATTCGCGTTCATCCCTCTATCTTTCTCTCTCTCTCTCGTTCGCGCAAAATTCACACTTTTCTCCCTCTCCCTCTCTTAGCTTCGATTTTTGCATGGCTGTCTGATCCGGTGTCTCTCTCTCACTCTCTGTCGCCTTCTAAGAATTTCGTTTCATCTGCATCAAGAAAAAACGTCATTGAGTGCGATCTCGAGTCGAATTGCGAGGGGGTCTGATCGTAATTTAACTCCTGACAAGACATTTGCCTGATTTTGCAATCTTCTATTTTTCCGATAAGAAATTATCCGATTTGATAAAAAATTCCCCCGGCTTAAATTTACGTAAGATAATCTCCCTTCTCTCTCTCTCTCTCTCTTTCTCTCTCTCTCTCTCTCTCTCTAGGATCGACAAGAGGAAAACACGTGCGTCGTCCGGGATCATCTCGGGCGCGAGAAACGCGTTCGCGATTTCGCAGCTTCCGAGACTGGAACTTGTCAAAAGGTGATGGAGAGTAGAAGAGACGGCGCAGCAGACGACCGATGGATCGTGACGGTAATACGTAGATAAGATAGCATAGACCCCCAGTGCCAGAGAACTGTGCTTGCGACAATGCGCCGTTCTTTCTTCCCGAGAAATGTCACTCTTCATATCGTACACGACGCGGGAGAAAATAGTACAAAACAGACAACGGTCCGAAAAGAACTGTCCTCATAATTTTAGGGAAAGAAAAATAATTCTCTCTCCCTTTTTTTTCAAATAATTCGTCGCGAATCTATCTGACATCCTCGTTGCGACAAGCACAGTTCCATGTTTCTTCTTTTATTATTTGTTAGAAACTCGAAAAATACCAACTAACAGCTGATTAGAACGAGAGATTAAAAAGACGGAGGAGGCAAAACAAAAGAGGCGGTGATAAGATAGTAATGATGAGAATATACAAGTGTAATTATTATTACTTTGACCGGTGCATTATGTTAAAAAAGTTAGTCGGCCGGCGTGTAAGAGAGTTCTTTGTGCTCATGTAAGAGAGTGTACAAAGCGATTGCTCATTTGTTACGTATGCGATTACGGGAAACGTTAGTGCCAGCTGCAGCTATCAAAGAGGATTCGTCGCAAACTTTCAGAGCCGATCGCATATGCACGACGCAACAATGAAATTAATTCATCGAATCGACATACAACAATAAGTCGCGAATAATTCGATCTCGCTGAAAGTAACCGTTCAAATTAGAGACATTGCTTATGTAGAATCGCGTCAAGTGTTTTTCTCATAAATCTTTAATGAAAAAAATTATTGTAACATAATTTTTTAAATGTAAAAAAACTTTCAATTTTAATTAAAAAAATGGATTTTTCTTCAGCAATGAATCTATTGTAATATCGCAATAAATTAGCTAGGATGTAGCCTATCCCAGCCTTTCAAGGGTTGAATCGAGAATGGAATGTGTCGATATGTATTTGTTGTGCAATGTGTGTTTTGCTTTTCCGAAATAGAAACTAGAAATTTAGGTGGAGCAAACAAAAATAATATTTTTTCAAGGTATTTCCCCTCCGAGAAATAAACTAATAAGGAATCATAAATTGATTAGCCGTTTTCGCTGAGACGAGTGAAAAATCTCGCAATTGGCTAAATTAAAAAAAAAAAAGGAGGAAGAGAGTTTACTGCGAAACTAGTTAAAAAGAAAATTTCCTGCGATTCGTAAATTCGCTACGTGTTATGTTTCTCTCCGAGTCGGTTTGAGAAAGCACTGATCGAACGATAAAACTGATGGAACTTAACGTCTAGCGAGAGAAAAGTACGGGAAAAGGCAACGCGCTCCGTTTCAGATCGATAAAGAAGCGGAGAATCTACAGAAGCCGGAAGTGACTGCGGAACAGCGCAGCTACGAACATGCATTTTAGTCGCTTCATTTCAACCTTCGCAGAGAGAAAGCCGACACTCCGTTCTAGACGATCTCAAAAGTCTCGAGATGAACCGAATGAACCGCGAAATTAATTTCCTTCTCGAGTGTCTCCCTTAAAATGGTATCGATATTTCACGGGAATTCGAAATAGATATTTTCCAAAACGAAACGATTTTTTTTTTTTTTTTGAATTAATAGTTATTTCGTTAAAACAATCGTTTAATACGAGTAGAATAAGTTTCCCGACAGATAATTCATCGCACGAATATGTTGGCGATACTTTCTTTTTTATTTCAACGATAGAAATGTAGCCGAAGCGAAACATTGACAAGTGATCAACGTATCGACATGTCAGATATTGGATCCGCCGACTAGAAATTCCCACAGAAATCCCCTGCCGGGCTTGCCGAATACTCCGGCTCGTTGTGTTTACCCGCAAATTTAATTTAACGTCACTCTGTGCCACGTGACATTGTTGAAATTTTACGTCAACGAAATTGACTACGTCCGAAAAGAACCATGTGCTACGCGAGACGATGCTCTAAACGTCGGAAATTAACACGGGTATCCTAATTTGCCACTCGAGCTATTAATTATATATAATAAAACAGATAAGATTTTGCATTAGAAAAAAAATTACAAAAAAAGCTTAAAAAAATCTTTCGAATAAAAGCACCTATATTTACACAACCCGAGAAAGAACAGTAAATTGCGCAATCAAATCCATAGAGATTCGCCTCCAGCGAATTTATGAAATTGCGGAAGAACCTGATGAGGAAGAAGATAACGATTTACGCGAAGGGAATATTCGACGAGGAATAAATTGTTGGAATCCTTATGAAAGATTGATACTATTGGGGTGGTACGACACGCCGGGGGTGTCTCGCAAAATTTTCCCTCTTCCCCTTTTACGTTGCATCGCGGGAATGCTAGCGACTCGTTAGAAGCGCGGCGACGCGCATCCACCGGCTCCATTAATATGTGAGAGAGCCAGCTCTGCCTAAAAAGTGACTTAGCAACTCCAATGCATACTAAGCAAACCTGGGCGCTATATCGGCTGCTGGTGTGGGTGTCGTGTGTGTGTGTGTGTGTGTGTGTGTAGTTGTATCTGTGCAGTCCCTAGGCGGTCTCCCGATCCAACACATCCTTCGCGACTGTCGGCGCCCATCTTCACGGGCCAACAGCGTATCCAGCCTAATATATGTATACACATTATCCCAGCAACGCACGCACACATATCTAATCGCGCGCGGACGCGCACATACATATCGCGCGTGCGCATATACAGGGGCAATAAAAGGGGTTGCGCGGAATAAATTCCCGAGTTTGTGCATCTTGATCCTTTAAGCAAATTAGCTTTCTCGAACATCGGTATTTTCAACCGTGAAAATAACAGAAAATATATATTATTGTAGCAAATCTGAAAAATTGCGAAGAACGCGAAAAATGATCGGGGAAGAGAATTTTTTCGAAACCCGAAATACTATATATATTGTTTGTAATTTTGTGCACGCATTAGGGGTTGTCTTGAGCGAAAATCCCTGTATATGGCATCGTACCCATCCTGAAGCTCAAGCAGACTCCTTCACCGATATCCTTCCTCTCTCACTCTTCTCTCGTGATATCGTTCTCACGCTCTTTCTCTCTTCTTCTCTCTCGCGTAGTGAGTGTGAGTATGCGGAAGGTAAAATGCGCATGCATTCATCGGGATGCAACACCGTGGCTTGGAATTGCGCGAAAGCGAGTAGCGGCCTCTAATAATAACTTCATACGTTTAATACGTAACTTCCGCGAGACGAAAGAAAAGCGAACAATGCAAGAAATAAAGTCTATGATTGACACTACTGGGAAGACTTACATTATAAATGCAAAAATAGCAAAATTCGGATAAATGTAAGAAAGGGAATTTTTAAAAATTTTATCGTTGCTTAATTTTATTTCTAAATAAAATTAATGATATATATGTATATATATATATATATATATATATATATGTGTGTGTGTATATATAACATATATATATATATATTAAAAATTACGACAAAAAATTAAAGAACCCTGTTTTCCTTTTAGTTTAAAAATAATAACGTAATGTCCAAAATTTACTAATTATTATTCGAAATATACGCTAAAAAAATATTATATCCTGAAAAACAAAGTAGAAAAAAATTCAATTAGTTCAAAATATTTCGCGTGACATAGAATACAATTTTTCGTTCCATAATAAAATTAAAAAAAAAAAATAAAAAATACAAACCTAAATATGTATATTCGATACGACACAAATTTGGAATATCCAACAAGTCAAAATGTTTTTAGCTCGTCTTCCTTAATTTATTCTGAATGAAATCGAAAATCTCATCGTGGGTCGAATCCCGAGCCACAGCTTGATCGTTTGTCGTCTGTTTGCCACTCTATAGGATAAGCTCATGCTTAGTAAAGGCAAATATTCCAGAGAAAGCGTTACAATAATTAGTTAAATCAATCTACCAGAGGCGATAACGAGAGGAGGCTATACACATATACCTACGTATAAGTTAGAGAAAGTGTTCTAAAGGATATAGGATCTACGTGAATTTTACCTGGTGCATCGGGTCGTATCCCATGGAGCCGTCGTTGTACGGCTGCGAACCGTATTCACTTCCGTTTATTCCCATGCTGTATCCGGCCATGTCCTGGGGTCCTCCTGGCGGCGCCGGCGACATCATCGGCGTCGGGGTGCCCTGGCTGGCACCGCCCATGCTGTACGGCGATGCTCCTGCAAAAGCTGCTGTAGAAACAATCGCGGTGCATACAAAATTTGAGGGTGCGTCTTTTTAAGCGCCACAGCGATAATTTGCCTCTCTGTGCCTCGCGCGCTTATGCTCCTTTTATTCACAAAGGTAACATATGTCAGCGTTCATTTAACCGTTTTTTTTCCTCTTATTTTTCTCAATTTATTCGCCAGATTATATATCGCGCGATAAGATACATAATTAAAATAACGACGTTATATCTACTGGGTTTGAACAAATCAAGTTTAAATAATTTGCAACTCTTGAATATAAATAAACGCGTTAATGAAAGATAAGGTTTCTTTCTCGCCGGAAATCTGACTCTTTTCTACTCTCGAGATTTTTGTGCCCGGGGCTTCTGAGGCTTCGAATATCCGACGCTTGTAAAAACCTTCGCGCCATTCGAGACAAGCGTTGTTTCGCAGAGGTTTGGGTAGAGGGAGGTCGTTAGAATTCCGTTTCTTTAATTATACGAGAGGACCGGGCCGTTTCGTCGCGAACGTGGTCGAGGAAAGACAAACGCAGAGAGTGCTGAAAGAAATGCGAGAAGCTCGGAATCTCCTCTATCGCGTCCTCGTCCCACCTACCCTCTCTCGTCCACCCCGGCTCGTGTTCTCCCCTTCCCTTTCCTACCCTTCCTCGTATAATTGGTGAGTTAAAAATATCTCACGCCGGCGTGTCTCCAAAATAAAGTGAGACGCCTCGGTAGTTTGGCGAAGCGTGCGTAATTGCAACGACCCTAGGGTGGGATACGCGAATCCGTGGAATTTCAAAGCGGGCCCGGGGAATTTTTTCTTTCTTTTTTTTTTGTAATTTTCACGATGACGAGGGAGGAGGATCGCGAGCGAAAACGTGAGACGCGAGGTGGCGTCTATCTCTGCGGAGGATGTAATGAGAAAATTTCATGTAGTCTTATCTACGTTTCGTCTATTGTCTTCTTCTGTCTACTTTGAAAAACTTAAATTTTTCGAAAGATAAAATAGCGGAGAGCGCAACGCGAACGTGCGGCTCCGTCAACCTTATCTATATTATTGCAATTTGAATTAATTTCCCAAGTAGATATCCGTTGCAATGATATTTAAAACATAAATATGCCAAGAGAGGACACATTAATATCGCTAGATTTATTTTCTGTCGATGATTCATCAACGACCGCAATAATAATGTCGGTGCCGCACCGAACAATAAGCTATAACTCACCTAATGATTTACTGTGATGAGACTTCCTCCATCTTGGTTCCAAGTCTAACGCGTGAAAAAGACGAGAGAAGCATGTGGGTACGAGAATTTTTGTCTATGTTAATTATTTCAATTTATATCACCCGATTTTTACTTCACTTGCGTTTTTCCTCGACGAGCCCGATCAAAGGAGCAATAAGCACGAGAGAGCATTGAGAAGTCGAAAAAAGATGCAACGTAAAAAAACATTGTAAAACATTTTATGAACTGTCAATTCGTATTTCTCTGTCTCTCTTTCGATTTTTTTGTCAATATTAAGTAAAACGTTACTTTACGATCGTAAAGACATTTGGATCTGAACATTTGAAGAGACAATTTTGTGCAGTTTTGTTTTGCAAAATTTTACAGAATTTTCTTCATAATTTAAAGTAAAACGAACTCATAAAGGAACACCCGTCGTTTAGCGAAAATCGGGACTTACCAGCTGCTTTCTTGGCCGCGTACAGATTCGCCTCTTCCTGCGCTTTACCGATGTTCTTCTTATAGCGTATCCTTTTATTTCCGAACCAATTGGACACCTAAGAGTAAACGAGGATACGCATTCATTTTCAATTTGCCGAAAGATTTTCACGCTCATGATATTTTTTTTCATTCTCTCTCTCTCATCAAAGAGAAGGTTTATAAATACTTTTAAAGAACGAGATTTAAAACTTTTTTAAAAATTACCTTGAAAATATAAAAAATAATATACACGCAAAATAGCAACGCGGTGTATGGTAAATTACAAAAGTTCTATTAAGTGTGAGAAAAGGGAGTGGACGATACCTGGCTTACGGTAATTCCACATTTTCGTGCCAGCTCCTCCTTCGCCTCTTCGCTTGGATAAGGATTACTGAGATGGGAGTAGAAGTATTCGTTTAGAATTTCAGATGCCTGTTTACTGAAATTTCTTCTCTTACGTCTGCAACACAAATTACACACGCGCATATATTATATCTTGTATATTAAATTGTGCTGTCTGAATAATCTCCGAATGTCGATAAATCTCTCTCTTTTTTTTTTAATATACGCGATTGCTGTCGCAAGAATTTCACGAATCTCTTATTGTTTCGACACAAACCTGGCGTCCAAGAATCGACTCCTCAAAATCATCACGGCTTCGCAGGTGGACTGTTTGAGCTGCATCTGAATGCTGGAGAACTTCTTGTGGATAATTTGAACCATCCTTTCGATTTCCTTCGGCGTGATCGGCCTGGTGCGACTCTGCTCCCTCAACAGGTTCATCACGTGAGTGGTGAATTCGTTACAAGCCTGAAATAAACAAAAGCAAATAAATTTGACTTTGCTTTCTTCCACTGGATCGCGTCGAATGCGAGATAATTCCTCGGGAGAGATGTAATTAATTAAAAATATAAAACCGTTTCGAGGATAAATTGAATATACCGCGAGCTCGCCGGCATGACGAACAGCAAAGAACTAAAATGAGCGAGAAACGCAAGAAAAAAAAAAAAGCACTATGACCAGAGCGTGAAAGGAAAGGTCGAGCGAGGGAAGAAGTGAGAGACGCGTACGTATAATGCATTATTCCTGGTGGCTGCTCGGTTTAAGGGAAAAAGGACCTTGCTCGGTATCAGTATTCGAGGCGAGCACGTTGCTTCGCGAAAGGGAGAGAACCAGAGAAAGAGAGAGAGAGAGAGAAGGTGAGCCAAGCAGAGAGGGAGTAGCTTTTCCTGAGGGAAGAAACCGGGAAAAGGCCGTGGAAGGGTGTTGGGATACGAGAGGAGTCAGTGGAGAAAGGGGATCGAACGGGGTAGCTTGCAATTTCGAAATGGATTCCACTCCGTCGACGATCCCATCCCTCTCTCTCTCTCTCTCTCTCTCTCTCTTCCTTCGTCCTCCTTTCTCGATCCACTGATGGCTTCTCTTCCTCTTCGTTCCTTTCTTCGCGCGAGAGAGACTCGTGGGGTGGATCAACCCCCTCGACTGTTGCACGTGAAAGAGAGAGAGAAAGAAGATCCGAGGAACGAACGGAACGTTGCTGAATTGGATGGAAAAGCCGTAGCGAGTCGCATTTTCCCAGACTGATTTCCTTTAATTTCTAAAACGTTCTCTACGTTGTAAAGTGGATGATATTAGCTGATGACCGTCCGATACATTTTAATATAGAAAATGCAATTGACAATATTAACTGCCGTATTATTCCCAACGATCTATCCATATATGTAAATTGTCTGCTTCTTTTATCCGCATACGTATCTCTCTTGGATATTCTGTATAATATATCTTTCCTAATTCTACTTTCGAATTGCGAGATAAACATACATTCAGTCGATATACACATATATATATATATATAATTATAGAGAATTGGGATCAAGGGCGTCCGCAGGATTTTTTCCAATGCGGGCATAATTAATTTTTTCTTGTTTTTTAATTGTCTTAAATTTATTTTTATTTTCTTTATACTAAATATGCAAATAAACTTGACGAGTTTCTTCAAAAGGAGAAACCAAATAATGACCCTTTCCATGATTGGGATATCCAGTTATAAAATAAGGATCCATGCTGTATTCTCCGATACGAATCAGCCGCGAGCATAAATTCGATTATGCAACTGTCGACGACTCTCCGCGAGTTGTTCTCCGACCGCAGAAACGCAGCCGCACGACCGTCGGTGTCGAGCAGATATATTTAGCAACGCACACGTTGGAATTTCCATAACGTTGGCGAAATCGGCCATGCCAGCCTCTCCGTTATATTCCCGCGATACGCGACCATATTAATAGAACGTGTCGCAAAATTAGAGCGTTGTGAGAAAGTTCGCATCGCCGGAAAACGAACTAAGAACGAGTTCTTCGTTAAGATACTCCGCCTGGTATATCTTTCTCTTATCCTCTTGCATACGCGATAAATAAAACGACGCGCGATGTAAAATTTATTAGCCGGAAATGCGAGAGATTATATAAGCGTTTTACGCTTAAATTATTATATCCCAAACGCGCGAATATTTGTCTCATCTCTCCCATTATCGTCGATAAATTACGGCGCGATCTGGGGGTCAGCATTTCATCCCGAATTATGGCAAATAATTTCGAAAATGTCCAAGATGTTTATACTCTGCTTAACATCATACTCGATACGATTTACGGTGGATTATACCAGTCGAACGTGCGGCAGTAAAAGAAAATATTTATGCGCGCGTAAAATCTTTTCTCCCCTTTCCCTCTGGACGAACATCGAAAGATGCATTTTCTGTATATACGAGATAGCACGAGAAGGGATGAAGAGGGAGGGAGAATCAGAGTTGAAAATCGGATAAAATAAAGGCGGGCGTGTTTCCGACGAAATTCATGGTAGGTAGGGATGTTTGCTGGCGGTGATCACGCGATCTCGTAAAACCCGAATGCGGTTCTATTCTCGTGCTTGTCACGCCATGTTGCATAGTCAGGCAGACATTCACCCTAATGCGGCGAGTCGACCGAATTTGAATAGTAAATTTCGCTTATGGCCGAACTTTCCGCCACGACAACGTCGGCCGCTAACTAAACCAATAACTTTTTGCAGGGAGTATTATATAATGAAATATTTTTTTCCGCGGACATTGTCGTATTTTTTTTCTCCGAGCAAAATTACAAAAAAAACTGTCGCTTTTTCTCGAGCATGAATTTTACATTTAATTTTTTCTATTTGAGATCTCGAGGAAGGATATTACAGAGAGAGAGAGAGTGAGAGAGAGGAAAAAATGGAGCCAAAGAAGCAGGATTCCTTGGCGGAGAATGGAGCGTCGAGAGATTTAAAACTCGTTAACGATCGCGTTTATCGACGAACCACCCCTCGACAATACGAGCTTACGTCGCAAGGTGCATATGTTTTCAGCGCGCATATTGTTGCGGCCACAAAGAGTCACGGCACACGCATTACAGGGGCGGAACCAGGGCGTTTCTACCTCGGGAAGGCCGCGAATTATCATTTGCGATTAACACTAATGGCGGCGCGAACTGGAAATTGCCGTTTTCCAAGAATATAATCTTTAATTTCCGCATTAACACACGCGCGCACACACACACACACGTATATACATGTATTCCGGCCGTGCAAACGGGTGGGCGAACGGTTGTAAAAGCGGCTCTTATCAGCTTCAGCTCGTAAAAAGAGGTAGTACTCTACGCGTTAACTCCGCTTCCAACTCGGTCGAAGGAATGAAGACGCGAGCGTATTCTTTTTTCAGCGCGGATATATAACATCAAGTGTTACATTAAAATAATTTTGTATTACACGTGCAGGCAATGTGGCACTTTCGGTGTAGGTTTTCTGTGCGGAAAGCAGTCGATTTCCCACGCCGCCATCTAGCGGCGACGCGGTGAGTGAATAAGCCGGTTTCAAAGCCATTATTTACGGCTGAGCCGCGTTAAAAGTCATTGTATACGGCTGAAGCCGTAGGCAATGTATTGAACACGGCTATTCCCCCACTGTGCCGCGGCAAGATGGCGGCGTGCGATCGGCCGCCTCGCGCACAGAAAACGCGCCGAAACAGCCACTTTGCCTGCACTTGCAATACAAAATAGTATGTGTATCTCGCTCGTGCGTCCATCTCCCGCACTCGTGACCAATTGTCAACTTTCCGCACTTGATACACAATATTTTCGTATACAAAGATGTAGGCCGCCCGATTTTAATCCGACCCTGACGAGCCTCCGGTGGGGCTCTGTGCGTGTTTACCGCGGGGAAACATCAAGCCTGCTGACACACACGGTGAAATATGGGGTCGAAACGGGTGTGGCAATTAAAGCACACGGTCCACACACATATGCGAGCGCATATATATGTATATATTTATAGAGAAAGAGAGAGAGACGCAGTAAATGTATTATGCGGAAGAGGGAAAAATTGCAGGCGAAAACACGCGAACGCCGGTAAAAAGAATTATACGGGCCGATATGAGTGGGGCCCTATTTACGGTAAGAATGGCCGATTACGCGCGACGTCATGCGAATGTAAGGGGTGCTTTTTACGGTAGCGGCGCGTACATCAAGCGGAATGACCGGTGATCTGTCCCGAGGTGCAAAGAGGATGCGGAGATATGATCGATGGCGTGAAATAACTATAGTCAAAGTATTATATCGTATACATGTGTAATACTTGAAGAACTAAATATCTACGGTATAATTAGCAAGGAAATTGCGATTAATTAAAAATTATTTCGAAACTTAAAAAATAGAAATCTTTAATTAAAAGAGATAAATAAAAATTTTTCATTTCGAATACGATCTTTTATGGAATACTTACTCCGAAAAATTGCCCTCGTAGAACCGAGCCATTACAGCGGATCGAGCTTTACGACGCGAGGTCGGGGTAGGAATTTAAAAAGGGAAGAGCGACCGGGAAAGGAGAAATTTTTAATGAAACGGCTCGCGATAATATTGTCGAATTTCCGCAGCGGAGAACGCGGTAATGGTTCGGCGCAGTGATTTGCGTCCTTTTGAAAGAACCTGTATCACGCGACACACAGGGGCTGGTCTCTTCGTGGCACGCGAGATTTTACTTAGCGCGAGCGGGCCGGTTTATTACCACGCGAATCGCTGATGACGGTTGTCCGAAGTTGCACGAATAACATTTTTTTATCAGTCTATTTAGAAACGATCGTAAAACCGAACCCGAAAGATTGCAAAATTCATCTCATTGTTTCGTAAAATATGTTCTTTTATTTCGCAATTAATTTTCATTAGTTTGTTACAATTTATTTTTTTATTAATAATTTTCTTATCAATGTCACTGATTAGAGAAATAACAAGATTTCACCGAATAAATATTTTACTGATCTTAGTGATAAATTAAAGATTACTATTATATTAACTAATCTCTAGATGTTGTAGAAAAATTATTAATGTATTTTTTTGTGAAAAATGTGAATCGAAAAAAATCGCGTAAAATTATATACGTGTAAGTATCGCTAACAATCCAAAAAATTAAAATTACCATCTCATGTCTACAAATAATGCGTAGACTTTTGATGGATCCATATTACAGCGAGAATCAATTGATCCCCGCTTTCCCGATACTTCGCATAATATAATCGCGCACCACGACGAGACCGCGAGAGATCGTCGGCTTACGATAAATTCGCGTCGACGTCGTCGAATTTCACGAGCGGAGAGATTATCGATGGCGGGGAATCGAGCCGGCCTGATAGCGGGCCGGGATGGCCGAAATTTGTCAGCCGCCCGGATCTCGACGATAACCGCGCGGCTACGCGTTCAAATTTTTCATTTCACCGGGAGTTTTCCGAGGCCGAGAGGGTGAGTAACGGCGCTCGTTTATGCGCCGCGAGTTCATTTTGAGCCTCTTCCGGTTGTTTATTTTATTTTATTTTTTTTTTCGTCTTTCCTCTATCTCTCTCTCGCGTACATAAAGTCGCAACGACAGATAAAACGAAATGTAATTCCCGCGACCCGAATTCAATACTCGATATATAATACCGCGCCGATAATGGCCGCGCTCGCTCGCAGCGAATAATATTCATAAGCGGGATTTGCATAAAGAGCGAACGCGCGCTCGCGTTTTCCCGGAATGAATAATTTTCGCGGAGGGGTGGGTGGGGGAGAGGGGATATTTCGCGAGGGGGTAGCTAGCGCGCGCAAACGGAAAAATGTTTGACTGCGGCGCCGCGCGCTGCGAAAATCAATACGGGAGTTAAACTTTAACCCGTTTGACTTAATGAGTCCGGTTGGCCGGTTCGTATTTGCCGTCGATTATTTATTTACGTCGAACAAGATTAAAGCCGCGAAGACGCGAATGACGGCTCGTTCGTTACGCGATTTTAGAGATTACAGGGCAGCGTCGAATAAGGTGAATGAAGCCGCTCTGCGTTTGATATATCATATATACATATATACATATATATATGTATATATATATTTTTTTTTGCACACAAACCTGTTCGTATTTTTCTAACTCCTGGTGATAAATTTGCCTAATCTGGGCGAGTTTGGCTCTGTAATCCGAATGCTCAATGGCGTTGTCTGGTTGACCAGGTGGACCAGCAGCGGCTGCTGCGGATGCAGAAGCGGCAGCTCCAGCGCCGCCACCCTTCTCTGGTCCAGCGACCCCCTCGGCGATCAACATGTTGTCCAACCGCATTAGCTGCGGGTCTGGCGGCTCCTCTTCTTGCGTATTTCTCAATGACAGAACTGAAAACAGACAAGAACAGACAAATGTGAGATCAAATCAAAATTGCACGAGAATTAGCAGCTGCAAATATTAATCCTTGGAGAAATAGTATTTCTCCAACTTCTTCTGTTAAAATAATTACATTAACGCAATTTTTATATATTTTCCGTGTTTTTGGAAACGATTGATTTTCGATTCACAGAAAAAAAGGAATCCTTGATTCAAGTATATTTTTATTCTCGAACGCTATTTGATTGATTTAAGCATAGAATGCTCTTTGTAATCCCAAATTTTCATTTGCCTTAATAATAAATAAGTTTGTGTAAAGTATATTTTTTTTATCCTTAAGATATATTCTTCTTTTAAAAATCATTATATAGTAAAAACAAACTTAGTCACATTTGAATTAAGAATTATACTTGCAATACTTATAAGTAAATTTCAGCTTCAACCAAGAATATTTTGCACTTTGTTTTAAGGATAAATTATCCTTTATCCAAAATTATTTATATTTGGCGTTATTATAAGGATAAAATATACTTGAATCAAGGCATATTTGCATTCTTTCAAGGATACTGTTTTTTCTGTGAATATTTATTTGCGCGCGTTTAACGAAAAATTGACAAAGTACAGAAAAAAAGGAATCCTTGATTCAAGTATATTTTTATTCTCGAACGCTATTTGATTGATTTAAGCATAGAATGATCTTTGTAATCACAAATTTTCATTTGCCTTAATAATAAATAAGTTTGTGTAAAGTATATTTTTTTTATCCTTAAGATATATTCTTCTTTTAAAAATCATTATATAGTAAAAACAAACTTAGTCACATTTGAATTAAGAATTATACTTGCAATACTTATAAGTAAATTTCAGCTTCAACCAAGAATATTTTGCACTTTGTTTTAAGGATAAATTATCCTTTATCCAAAATTATTTATATTTGGCGCTATTATAAGGATAAAATATACTTAAATCAAGGCATATTTGCATTCTTTCAAAGATATTGTTTTTTCTGTGTTCTCGGAAAAGGAAACCCGTGGGAAAACAGAGAAAGAGACATCGGATTATCACACGTGAACATGTTCTCGTGGAAAATCTAGAGGGTTGTTCGCGCAGCGACCCGAACTTTCAGAATCGCGCGTTTGTCGATCATAAAAGAATCAATTTTGCTTCGACCGTCTCTCCAAACGTCCTTCCTTCGAGCTGAGTCCTCGTCTCCTTTTTGTCTTAAGGACCCCGGGTGTATGCAGTGGTTTAGAGCGGGTAGTTTTCTGCGGTGTAACAGCGGTTTTATTGCACTTTTACGGCGCATGATGGAGCTGGACGACCCATAAAACCGCAAAGAGAGAGAGAGACCTTCTACCCCTTCGAGCTCCTTCCCCGATTTTTCCACCACCCTCGCGCGAGGTTCCCTGCCACCCCGAAGATGCCTCTCGTCTTCGACAGTTGACACCCTCTTTGCGACGCAAACACTGGCAAACATGCATACATACACAGAAAAAAAGGAATCCTTGATTCAAGTATATTTTTATTCTCGAACGCTATTTGATTGATTCAAGCATAGAATGCTCTTTGTAATCACAAATTTTCATTTGCCTTAATAATAAATAAGTTTGTGTAAAGTATATTTTATCCTTAAAATATATTCTTCTTTTAGAAATCATTATATAGTAAAAACAAACTTAGTCACATTTGAATTAAAAATTATATTTGCAATACTTATAAGTAAATTTCAGCTTCAACCAAGAATATTTTGCACTTTGTTTTAAGGATAAATTATTCTTTATCCAAAATTATTTATATTCGGCGCTAAAATATACTTGAATCAAGGCATATTTGCATTCTTTCAAGGATACTGTTTTTTCTGTGTAAAGAAGCGAAATAGAGCTCTCAGCTTCTTTGAGGAAGCGTCAAGCGAGAAGTTTTTTCGTCGGGGAAGATTAGATTTTGCACGCAAAGTCAAATGCAAGATTACGCGGAATTATCGTAAAATCTGCGTTGAAAGATTTGCGATAATCGTAAGAAAATATGTGTATGAAAATTTTATATAGACAGTGTAAATCAAATCATATTAAATTAATTTAAATTTGGTCTAATTAAGTGTTATGTTAATTTAAGTTGGGTGAATTTAATTTAAATTTAATTTGAATTTAATTTTCAATCTCAACATTCGATCTTCGTATATTCAAATTTTCGATTCAATTCAATTCTAAATTGCTAATTTTCAAGTTTCGAGGCTATAGTTTATATAACTCGCTTTATTTGTTTATATCTGATTTATTTGCGTTAACGTATCCATTATTTATTGTAGTGATTTGTAACTAATTTTACACACTTATCCACACAAAAAATGGCTGTAGAAAGTGGAAGCCACTTAAGGGATAAATTAAGAAATAAATATACAAATTGAAATATGTAAGAACAAAAATTTAGTCAAAATTTTTTTCTTTATCGTCGATTTACGGGTATATTATAAATATTTGATCATTATAAACTTCTCTTACGAGTTTGCGCGCGAATTCGCACGATAACTTTAGCAAGTTATCGCGTGTCTCAGGCCTGGTTTTATACGAATGTATACTCGCATATTCGCAGTTGCTCGAGAGTCGCTACTTGAATTCGCTCGAAACTTTTCTTCGCCTCCGCCACTTTTCGCCACGGCTCGTGAAAAAAGTCCCCGGAGACCCGAAGAAAGGAAAGAGGGAGAGGAAGAAACGAACGAGACTTCTCGTGGATTCGCGGAGGCGTGAAACGAATGCGCGGGACTAATGCATTTATACGAAGTGTAACAATTACGCAAGTAGAAACGGGAACTATAGAGTTCCGTCTCTCCGGCAGGACTCTAGGGAGAGATTCTTTGGAGCAAATTCGCCCAACAATGGAAACGACATTTCTTCGAATGCAAGACGTCTTTTCTCCCTCAACAAATCAATCGTTAACTAATTAATCATCGCGAGATTCATATGCATTTTTTTTTATTTTTTACCGATATAAAAAATGCACTGTCCAGGGAAATCAAAATCGAGTTTTCATTCAATTCACTCCCCGAAAATTCTCCGAACAATGAAAGCGATTCTTCTAACGCAAGGCATATTTTCTCTTATCAACAATTCAGTCATTAACTATATATATAATTAATCATCGCGACTCATATAAGTCATTGTTGCATTTTTTTTTGTAGGAGGCTCTATCGGCAGAGAATTTGGAATAAAAATATATTTCACTGATAAAAAAATGCACTATCCAGGGAAATCGAGTTTTCATTCAATTCACTCCCCGAAAATTCTCCGAACAATGGAAACGACATTTCTTCGAATGCAAGGCGTCTTTTCTCCCTCAACAATTCAATCGTTAACTAATTAATCATCGCGAGATTCATATGCATTTTTTTTATTTTTCACCGATATAAAAAATGCACTGTCCAGGGAAATCAAAATCGAGTTTTCATTCAATTCACTCCCTAAAATTCTCTGAACAATGGAAACAATGTTTCTTCTAACGCAAAGCGTTTTTTCTCTCTCAACAATTCAGTCATTAACTATATATATAATTAATCATCGCGAGACTCGTATAAGTCAATGTTGCATTTTTTGTAGAAAGCTCTATCGGCAGAGAATTTGGAATAAAAATATATTTCACTGATAAAAAAATGCACTATCCAGGGAAATCGAGTTTTCATTCAATTCACTCCCTAAAAATTCTCTGAACAATGGAAACAACGTTTCTTCTAACGCAAAGTGTCTTTTCTCTCTCAACAATTCAGTCATTAACTATATATATAATTAATTATCGCGACTCATATAAGTCATTGTTGCATTTTTTTTGTAGAAAGCTCTATCGGCAGAGAATTTGGAATAAAAATATATTTCACTGATAAAAAAATGCACTATCCAGGGAAATCGAGTTTTCATTCAATTCACTCCCGAAAATTCTCCGAACAATGGAAACAACGTTTCTTCTAACGCAAGGTGTCTTTTCTCTCTCAACAATTCAGTCATTAACTATATATATAATTAATCATCGCGACTCATATAAGTCATTGTTGCATTTTTTTTGTAGGAGGCTCTATCGGCAGAGAATTTGGAATAAAAATATATATCCCTGATAAAAAAAAATGCACTATCCAGGGAAATCAAAATCGAGTTTCCATTGAATTCGCTTCTCGGACCGAGCGAATGCTGATCGGAGGATAGGGGATGACGTTGAAAATTGAGTTACGACGGAGAAATGTGTACGGTCAGGTTGAACGAGAGTGCCCCGGAAATGAAATCAAATAAGTTTCGAAATCGTAGCACGTTCCGCGGCACTTCCACGGTCGACTTAAGAAGGGATTAACGACAGTCAACGCGCGGCCATTAAAACTTCCGCGCAATGGCGGGAGAGAACTTTTCACGGCGCTGTGGGTAATTAAAAATGAAAAAACCTCGGGATCGGCGTCGCGCGCCGAAGACGGCGGAATAAAAGGTCGGTTTACGACGATGCGGAAGAACTTGCGCCATTGAAACTTAAAAGATCGAGCAATTTCGACCGCTGATACGAGCAACCCGTTTCGGAGCGGATAGAAATGTTTATCTCCTCGTATCCCTTATCTGCGAAAAGATTATTCTATATTTAATCCTCTCGGACTTGAGCATCCCCTATAATTTAACACCGCAATTTTATATCAAAAGAAAAATAAGATCAACGTTGTCATTTCATAATGAATTTTAACAGGCATAGTATATGCACAAATAAAAATCATATGTTATAATTTATTTCTAAAGATGAATAATAGATAATTTTATTTTCATTAAATTACATATATATGTATATTTTTATTTATATTTTTAATATAACTATCATCCCCTATAATTTAACACCGCAATTTTATATCAAAAGAAAAATAAGATCAACGTTGTCATTTCATAATGAATTTTAACAAGCATAGTATATGCACAAATAAAAATCATATGTTATAATTTATTTCTAAAGATGAATAATAGATGATTTTATTTTCATTAAATTACATATATATGTA